TACTGCCTGCCAAGAGAGAGGCCCTCTCCGTGGAGGTGAGTGTGGGAAGGAGGGCCCTGGTGCTCGGGGTTGTGTTCTCTTCTGTAGGATGGTGGTGATGGTGGTGATGTGTGCGTTGTGTAAGAGGACGTGGAGCTGAGTGGACTTTGTCGATGACTGGTACCAGCGGTGTCAAGATCGGCCTCTGTAGAGGAGGAGGCTCGTGAAGGACGCTACTGGAAAGTTGGAGGCAGTCGCCCTCCAGCAACAACGGAGGGCGGAGGAGCGACGCTCACAACAACGAGCGGAGCGCCGGGTGGCTAAAGCACAGCAAGTTGGCACAGTAGGGGGCACAGGTGGTGCATCAGCCAGTCATCTCGGTCATCTCGGTCAGTCGACCCGTGGCACCTGCTGGGTCTGCCCCGTGACCTCCTGCCAGCGGGCGGTCGACACTTCACGTGGCCTCAAGGTGCACCTAGCCTGGCACAAGCGTCGTGGTGTCACGTCACCGCCACTTAGTGGCGAATGGCGGTGGTTGTTGTTGTGTGTTAGAGGATGATGGCCGGGTGGAAGCGTTTCTCCGTGCGGTGGGTTTGGTGGTGGTGCTGTGTGTGTTTGTTCGGGGTGTGTTGTGTGTCCCGTAGAGGATGGCCCCGGTAAAGTGTTGTGTCGAGGTGTGTTGTGTCGAGGTGTGTGTAGAGGTGTGTGTGTTGTGTAGAGGTGTGGGTGTGTAGAGGTGTGTGTGTGTTGTGTCGAGGTGTGTTGTGTAGAGGTGTGTTGTGTAGAAGTGTGTTGTGTAGAGGTGTGTTGTGTAGAGGTGTGTGTGTGTTGTGTAGAGGTGTCGGTGTGTAGAGGTGTGGGTGTGTAGAGGTGTGTTGTGTAGAGGTGTGTTGTGTAGAGGTGTGTGTGTGTTGTGTAGAGGTGTCGGTGTGTAGAGGTGTGGGTGTGTAGAGGTGTGTAGAGGTGTGTGTGTTGTGTAGAGGTGTGTGTGTAGAGTTGTGTGTGTAGAGGTGTGTGTGTGTTGTGTAGAGGTGTGTGTGTGTGTTGTGTAGAGGTATGGGTGTGTTGTTATAGAGTTGTGTGTGTTGTGTAGAGGTGTGTGTGTGTTGTGTAGAGGTGTGGGTGTGTGTAGAGAGGTGTGTGTGTCGAGGTGTGTCGTGTAGAGGTGTGTGTATTGTGTAGAGGTGTGTGTAGAGGTGTGTGTGTGTTGTGTAGAGGTATGTGTTGTGTAGAGGTGTGTGTGTAGAGGTGTGTTGTGTAGAGGTGTGGGTGTGTTTATGGAGGATCGCCTTGCACAGTTGTGCTCGGTGTAGTGTTTTAGGTTGGGGTTTTGTTCTGGGTTCGAAATGATGGCCGGGTTGGTGTCGTGTTCCGGTGTGCTGTGTGTGGGTGCGCTGTGTATGGCTTCGGGTGTGCTGTGTATGGGTTCCAGGGTGTGCTGTGTATGGGCTCGGGTGTGCTGTGTATGGGCTCGGGTGTGCTTTCTGAGTTAGGTAGCAGTGTTGTGGAGTGCTCTGTGTGTCGTGTAGGACCTTTACTGTGCTATGTTTTAGTGGGTAGCTGGGCTATGGTGTTCTGAGTATTGTGGGGTTGGTAGTGTGGTGGTATCAGGGTGTGTTCTGTAAGATTCTGGTGCCGGTAATATTTTCGTGTGCTTTGTGGTGAGTCTTGGGTGGTCGTGTCAAGGTGTGCTCTCCCTCTCTGTTCTGCGCGGTGGTGGGTTAGTGTGTGCAGTGCGTGTGTGTGTGCTCTCAGGATGGGGTGTTTTTGGAAGGGTTATCAGTAGAGGGGTGTCCTCTATTTTATGGAGTCGTCGGTTCATTGTGTTGTGCGCGGTAGTGGATTAGGTTGATCGCTGTGTTGTGTAGGGGAGGTAGTGTTTGTTTGTGGTACTGGTAATTCGGGTGTGCTCTGTGTTGTGATGGTATTTGTGCGCGCTGTGTGTAAGGTGGTGTGTTTTTGCGAAAGCTGGCCGAGGAGAGGTGTGGTCAGTGTGGCATCTAAGGTATATTGTTATTGTGTACTGCGTGTGTGGTGTGCCATCGCTTGCGCTTTGGTGTGTTGTGTAGGGACGGGTGTTTGTGGAGCCTGGCTAGGTGTCTGTCGAGTCTTCGTGATGAGAGTTCGTGACAGCTTCAGTAGTTCCTTCATCCAGCCATGGGATTGGATCGTGGCTGATGACGATGATGACCTATTTAGGTGGAGGTTATGTTTGGAGAGGCTGACCAAAGTGTCGGTCTGTTCAAGTGCAAGTGTGGTCTGGTGGAGGTGCATTGAGGTGAACGATGTGCAGGTGATGGGTATGCAATTGAGGTGTTCCCAGATGGAGGTGTGTTTGGATGGACTTGCCACATGGGAGGTGTGTGCGGGTTGAAGTGTGCTCGGGTAGCTTTCGCTGACAATGGCTTTACAACGTACCTTTTGTGTTTCCATTGATAGTCTTGGTTCTTTCGGTAAAGTCACAGTGTTGATGACAACTGCGACAGTGTATTTTTCTCCTACTTTGTGATAGATTACGTTAAACCATAGTTTGCAATTGCGTGAGATTGTATCTCTCTGATGTGTTGTCGAGTTGTAGGAACCGAATTGTTTCGGAAGAGGCTCTCGGCACGTGGAGCAAAATCATCAGGCATCGTGTGGAACAACAAAACGCGGTACAATCCGAAAACGCATAGGATGGATATACAGCACAACCACAAAATACCTCCATGAGATTTTATTTGAGGCACCCAAACTGCCAGCTCAATGGATTGCTGCCTGAGCTTTGTGCCATGTGATGTTCCTTACCACCACAATTCTGCTTCTTTCAAAGCACCGAAGGAAGAGCGATCACAATTTCTAAATCGTATGAGAGTGTTTTTGAACACAAATAATCATCTGGGGTTATCAATAATGTCTGTGGCAAAGAGGAGTGAGCTTCCACACTCCGTAGGTCTTCATGGTTGTGCTGCTGGATTAGCTCTCCGATATGTTTGGGTTTTTCGGCATAATGTCTGACGTTTCGCTTGATGTGATGGGAGATTCTTCAGCAACTGAAATCTGAAAAAAACTAGAAACTGTTGCCCTCCTTGAGCGACCCAGGGACCTTCCTCACAGCCCTCGCCCCCCAGGTGAAGGAATCTCCCCAACCCCGTAGAACAGGTTCACTCTCAGAGTCTTCAGGACCACTGAGTTGGCAACTCGGTTAGAGCTCTGCTGAGGAAATGAGTAACTCCCGTTGTGAATTTTGCTTGCGACCTTGAGGAGTTCTCACACTGGGGCATCGCCACATGGGGTCAGATCACCGTGCTTCGTCGTTGCTGAGAACCCCCGCGGCTTCAGAGAAAAGAGACAACCCGAGTCGGCCGTTATGCGCCTCAAATAATAATAATGTCAGGAAAAGCGAGTTGGAGACTTAAGAGTGGAATATTCTACCACAGTTCGCCGCGGCACACGTTGCATGAATGAATATCTGTTTATTTTAGTTGGGCTGTTTTGTTTTCGCCATTTTTTTCTGCTTCACCAGTCCGACGAAATATATATATATATTTTTTACAATATAATGTGGATTTATACAATGTCAGAACATAATATTTTGCAAGGCAGGCAGTCATATGGAGAGCAAACAATACATGTCTTGAGCGTGAACTTCAACAGCTGCTGGGAATCGACAGCACGCATGGCTGGAGGAAGAGAACTCCAGATTATTGAGACAGCAGAGGAGAGCGACCTCCCACTGAGTGAAGGCTGACTGTTGGCTTCAACAGAAAGCCTTGGTATCTGGACCAGAGAGTGCGTGGACGAGAGTGGATGGAGATGAGAGTGTAGAGGTTGCAGTGAGATGAGAGGGGAGAGTTAGGAGAGTGTGTGGAGGGGCGTAGAGAGAGATGAGAGGGTAGAGGTAGGCAGAGGCAAGTCCATGACCTACAGGACGGTGAGTGCAAAACTGAAATCGATCCGGGTTTTGATTCAGAGAAAGTTGAGGGATCGGAGGGTTCACTTGATGTGGTTTAATTTTCAGGTACGGCTGACAAGTCTGACAGCGTCACTGTGAGGCTTGTTCCAGGTTATAGTGCCCGATACATAAACATCGTTGATTATTATATAGGAAGGTTAATGCTTTGGTCTGCGTGAACCAGTGACCAACCCTTGAAGCCTAAAGGTGTCCATGTCTGCTTGTGAGCGAGGATCACAATGCTGTGTGTCGACACTTGTAGTTTACCCATCGTGTACATACACAAGCGTACGCACGTGCTTACGTGCGAGAAGGTCCGGAGGGCATGGAGCTGTGGGCACTACCTTGGCCTGCGGAAGAGATGTGGCTGGGCTTCAGGGCCTTGTGTTTTCCTTCATCCTCACTGTGATGGAGTGGGTGAAAGTCTAAAGTGGGAGCTAATTTGGTTGTCTAAACTGGGAATGAAGACACACACAGCATGTGCACTAGAAGTAGACATCACGCGTCCAGAGACGACATGCGCATAGCATGCACTACCTGCACTCTCATTTTGTCACCTGGGTAAACGTAGACACAGCATGCATTGTGAGTAAAGTAAAGATACACACAGGGTAGACTGCGAATTGACATGCACACGGCTTGCAATATCAATAAACACACAGCATGTGCATTGAGTGAGTGTATGCAACAAGCATGCACTATGGGCAAAAGATACACAGCGTACACTACAAAGACAAAGATCCCCCCTATACCCATAACAGACATGGGTCAAGTGCTGTTCACGTGCACCTGTGAAGGCCAGCACCATGCCCGGCCACCTTTGTCTCCCTAGTGGCAATATCTACACACCGCACGAGATCCTCATTTGAGGGTTGAGTCGACCAAGCGGAGGCCCAGGACCAGTTCAGATAATTGTCATGGGTGCTGGCCGTGAGCCGGAATCGAATTCGGGTAGTTGGGTTTGTGGCGCAGCGGCGATATAACCGCTGTACTCTCGCTCCCCGTTGTGCAGTGTACATCTACATCACTGTCTCTCCTGGTGAGGACCCAGCATGCCCTGTGTGTTCACAGCAGTGGCCCCTTGTTCGCCGTGCGGTGGAGGAGGAGGAGGACCCAGGCTCACGATTGAGGCTCCCGTTTGCGAATCGAGGCAGCAGCTGCTGGTTCTACCGGAGTCGCCTGCCGCCTGCGCCACGTGACGCCGCGACGGCGCTCGCCCTCATGGGATAAACCGGCACGCGCCGGGGTCTGGACCCAGGTGAGGATCGTGGTGGGCAGCAACCCGTGCGGTTGCCACCTCCTGAAGTACCAAAAAAAGTGGCAAATATTGAAGGGAGATGAATCTCAATATAGGGAGAGGGGAGAAGTACATATGAATACATTATTTTGATTTAGTGTATTATTTTGCAACTGACAAAATTCAGGACTTTGAATGTTCTGAGAACCCTTAGATATTTCCAAGGACAGCGACTTGTGTTTTTGGGGGATTAGCTGTTGTCCTTCGTGTACTTTCTGTAGGTTGCTTTGTGTATGGTGGTGGTGGTGACGGCGGTTCAGGCGTGAGCTGTGTTGAGCGTATGTTGTTTGGGCTGTGCGATGTACGTATGTAGGTTGAACTTCTTTTGCACCGTACTTAGCCAACCCGGCTAATCGGAGCGTGCGTCCGATGCGTTTTGCGTGCTGTTAGTCAGTTCAGAATGTGCTGCGTGCCGTGTGAGTGAGCGTTTTGCCGTGTGCGGTGGCAGGGGCTCGCTACAGCGCCTGAGCTGGCGTCGTGGTGAAACGCGGCCGCGCTTGAGGAAGTGGCACGGAGTTAATGTTTGAGCGACTGCGGCGAGCGGGGCCTCGCGGAAGGAGTGACGTTCGCTGTGTTGATGTTGGGCAGGAGGGCGGCGGGAACAGTCGCTGCACCCCCCTCCCCGTCCCTCCCCCCCACCATCTCGAGCTGCAAAGCACCAACTCTCTCTACCGCAGCCGCTCGCTGGCACAGGCTCACTGCTTTCAACGTGCGCCTACCCGCACGCTGGGTTGAAGCAAGTTGCAAAGCAAAAGACGAAGAGTTATTGAACATGCAATCTTTTTTGTTTTCTTTTACACTGCAGAACTCAGGTTGATGCTTTAATGCATTGGGTCTGTCCTTCCTGTCTTCAGGTCACAGTAACTCGCGTGTAGATGTTCCAATTTAAGTGACATTTTGTTTGTTTGTTTAAAGTTGCGTTGCTTTTAGGGACGTTCCCCTCTATAGAAAACCGAGCAAAGGTGTGAAAGGGTTACACAAAACGAGGCGATAAATGCGCTGCAAATAATAATACACCGCATCTTTACTGGGGAGACAAAGGTGGGCTGGATTGGTGCCGTGGCCACACCACCACTTACACGTGTCCTATCGGCCTATATAGGTGCTCGCTAACGGCACATGAATCTTCAAGTCTGTGTATGGCTTATTGGGGAGAGGATTCTTTCACTATGGGAGAAGTTGGGCATGTGTATAATTGTGTTAGTGTGTCGTTATGTTTGTATGTGGAGCGTGTGATGTTGTTAGTACATGTCTGGTTCTGTGGTTCTGTTTTTATATGGCATGTTGGCGTGTGTGTTGTTACGCATGTTTGCATATGAGTCTTTCTGATTATGTTGGCGGGAGCGGTGATGTAGAGGTTAGCGCGCTGCGCTATTAACCCGGCGACCTGAGTTAAATTCCCGCTCACAGGCCAACACCAGTGACGATTATCTGAACCGGCTCCGGGCCTTCTCAAGTTTGACTCAGCCCCAAATGAGTACTCGGTGCAGTGTGTAAACATAGCCACTAGGGAGTCAAAGGTGGCCAGGCATAATGCTGGCTACCTACCCCCTCGTGTGCTGTGCCGGCCTTGATAGGGGCTCGCTAATAGCACTTGCCCCAATAGTCTGTTAACACTATATGGGGATCTTTGTCTTTTGTACAGTTAACTGTAATGGTGGTGTGTGTATATGGTTATGTTTGTGTGTGGTTAAGTGCGGTGGTGTGCGGATAAGTGCGATGGTGTGCGTGTGTGCGGTTATGTTTGTGTGTGACTATGCGTGTACGCATGTTGGTGTGCGCATGTGCGCTCGTGTTTCCTGTCTGCTTGTGGGGATCGTGCTGCTTGACTTCCTGCTGCTATTGTGTCTGTGGCACGGGGCCCAGCTCACAGGCAAGCCTCCCCCCACCAACCCACACCCCCCTACGCCCCCCCCCAACCACCCAGGGCTCAACCACACTCCGCCAGTACTCGAGGCCAGACCGTGTGAATGTGCTGCGCGCATTGAAATATCACGTGGTGATTGATAATTTTGCAGAAACGTCACACGCGTCAGTGCAGTCCTAGTTCCTGTAAGGCACCCTGCAAGTAAATACTGTGGTATTGGATTTTACATTCGAGAATTCACTTGTGATTTTTAGTCGTTACATTGGTGTGTTTTTTTGCATCTTTTAGTTTGATATATTTCTAACTATATTCATAGACTACCAGATTATCAACGTGGGTGCTATGGCGTTTTGTTAGGTACGGTGAGTTACTTGTGGCTGATAATGACTGCAGGCGATGAACCAAGCAATTCTCTTGTGCGCTTACCGGATAAAGTTCCTCCGGTTAAATTTTGACTTAAACTTTCGTGACTGCAGGAATTAATATTCTTTGGTTCTTTAGGTAAAGTCACGTAGATTGAAAAAAAAAATAAAGTGAATAAAAATACCACGACGTTTCGATCGCAACACAAGCGGTCATCATCAAGAAAAGGGGTTAGCCTCTAAAGGCAAACTGTTTATAAAGGTTTGGAGATGGGCGTAGCCCAAGTGTATCAGCAGCACCAACAATGCCAATGCAGAAGCACCAGAATTGCTAATGCAGCAGCAATGCCAATGCAACAGCAATTCCAATTCAGCAGCAATGCCACTGCAGCAAAGGGACACCAAGAAATAATTGCACCCCGCTCCACACACCACACTGCTGACGGTGGAGGTTGATTGACAAGAAAACACAAGTCAAGTCTTTCCAATGATTGCTGAGTCTATAACCATCATCTCGGTTGAAATTGTGTCTGTGTCTTTATATATGGATGACTTCATGAACGAACCTCTATTGATAGCCAGTGGGCTTGCAAAGTACAATTGTCTTAGAGAAATATCAAGAAAAGGGGTTAGCCTCTAAAGGCAAACTGTTTATAAAGGTTTGGAGATGGGCGTAGCCCAAGTGTATCAGCAGCACCAACAATGCCAATGCAGAAGCACCAGAATTGCTAATGCAGCAGCAATGCCAATGCAACAGCAATTCCAATTCAGCAGCAATGCCACTGCAGCAAAGGGACACCAAGAAATAATTGCACCCCGCTCCACACACCACACTGCTGACGGTGGAGGTTGATTGACAAGAAAACACAAGTCAAGTCTTTCCAATGATTGCTGAGTCTAACCATCATCTCGGTTGAAATTGTGTCTGTGTCTTTATATATGGATGACTTCATGAACGAACCTCTATTGATAGCCAGTGGGCTTGCAAAGTACAATTGTCTTAGAGAAATATATTTTGTGTGAGCCAGCCGCATTAAAATAACGTTCAGCCACGGCAGAAGTATTGGTAGTACCTTGTTTCAAATCTGCCTTATGCTCACGAACACGGACCGAGACATGTCGCTTCGTTTCCTCAATGTAATTGCTGGCGCAGATACAGCTTAGTTTGTTGACGTCGGGATATTGCATGTCAGGAATTTTGTCCTTCACAGATGGGATCAGATCACGAATTTTATGTACGGTGTTAAATCGGACCTGGATCTTGTGTTTGTTCATGATTTTGGAAAAAAAAATTGGTTACCCCTGCTATGTACGGGAAGGTGATGGTTTTGATTGGATCCTCAGATGGCTCCTTCCTCACGGTTGGGGTGATGGCTTTGCGGATTGTGTAGGCAGAATATCCATTGGCCTTGAGAGCTTGGTGTACGTGTTTGAGTTCACTGGTTCGGTGTTCATGGTCGGAGATACATTGAGCTCTATGGTGTAGCGTTTTGATGAGGGAATTCTTCTGGTGGTGGGAATCAGGTTTTAGGTAGGCATCGGTATGGGTTACTTTCCTGTCGACAGAATGGCTCATTGAGCCATCTGGTCTCTTTTTGATTCGGACATCCAAGAAAGGTAGCATGCCATCCTTTTCAGCCTCCATGGTGAATCCTCCGGTTCGAAGCCGTTTTCAGCAATGTTGAGATCGATGAGAAGGTCGATGGACCACGATTATGAATTTTTTCATTATCACCCAGGAAAATCGTCACTTTTACTCATCACTTGTTTTCAAGAGGGTCCTTCACAAGTTATCGCAGTTGCGTCATGTTGATAGCTATTATAATAAAATGCAGTAATTTGCGGGTATTATTTTTTTTAGGTGATAATGCCTACTATTGCGAATGATGTCTCAGGACCTTTAACATCCACTGTGAAGCAGACGGTACCTACTTTTATGGTTAATATACACTCAGTATTAACCAGGGCGGCTGCTGGATTGAACTGTGAACCTCTGCAACAAGTGACGAACACGATACTGCCAGGCCGCCCCAATGTGAGTCAGGACCGTGCAGAGATGGGGCTCACGATCACAGAGGTGAACAGACTTGCTCGGGACAGACATACAGGCTCACCAGAGTCAGACATAGAGCCTCACCAGATACGCACTCGCCAGAGATGCAGATTCGTAAGAGACGGACGGATAGACCGCCAGAGATCAGACAGACTAACCAGAGATGGACAGACTCGTGATTGTCTATCTGGTTGTGCTATGGATGGTAGAGCTATGATTACCCAGGGTCTCACTATCCTGTAACGAGTGCTGTTGTCTTACTGGTAGTGCTGGCTGGTAGAGCTATGATTACCCAGGGTCTCACTATCTTGTAGCAAGTGCTGTTGTCTTACTGACAGTGCTATGTTGATAGAGCTATGTTCACCCAGGGTCTCACTATCTTGTAGCGAGTGCTGTTGTCTTAATGACAGTGCTAAGATGGGAGATCACCAACTGAGTCGCTTGCACCCTTGCCAGGAGCGTAGCGGATCCCCCCCCACAAGACGCCGCACTAGGCAGGGCCTCCTGCCCCGAGCGCACCGTCACGCCGAGTCGCAAGTCCAGGAGCCTGTGCGCCATTTGACGTCGGCCTCAACGGTAGCGAGGGTCCATGTCGACCGTGCTCTGCACTGACCACGGTTGGCGTGGACGCTCAGATCTAGGATTCAAATTAAATGATGTCTTTGATATGATTGGGTTTTGTGCAGTTATTGCCTGGTGACCGCTAAGCACGATGTGTACACTTGATATCCCAGTTTAACCTGGTTTCATCACGGGCGACAGGAATCCAGATCTTAGAAGGGTGCCCACTCAGCGCTGTGACCCCTAGCCCGCCCCACCTCATGCATGCATCTCATTAAACAGGTACCTTTGAAAACATACCAAGTTGATAATGTAAACGTAATGTCGACGTAATTTAATAGGTGCAAGTTGCTGATTATCGTTTGCCGTAATTAAGTGTCGGCGTTACATCGCCGCACACGTGTCCCTTGTGAGAGTTCTTGCCGTGCGTTCGGACCGCGAAGTTTGAAACACACTTCGGTCTCCACAGTGCAGCCGATTAGCCATCAGGGGGCCGGGTTGTGGGTAGCCTCCGGGCTCATCCGTTGACCCTCGAGTGCTAGCGCTCGCTCGCGCTCCAACTGGCCGCGTGGCTCGGCTAGAGAACGAGCGGCTCGCCGTCGAGGAGGTGTACGAGGTCAATTCCTGGTTGAGTGGTTAACTCGACCCATCATCTCTCCTCCCTCAGGGGTCGATAAAACACGTATCACTCTGTGGGGAAAGTCAACCTTGGTTGTCCTATGGATAGACTCGCTCCCTCCATAGTTGTGTGAAGTTTCCACCGCTGGCTCATGGGCTGTCGTAAATAGGTGAGCTACTACCTTGTTGCTCATTCGAGCAGGAAATGGCCTCGACTTTAACGAGCCGCACTGACCAGCATGGTGAAGCAGAGGTCGCAAACGGGTTTTGATTCCTTACCCGTACCCGTACCCGGCCGTACCAGGGTCGCAAACGGGTACCCGTACCTGTACCCGGCCGGGTACGGGTAGCCGGGTATCGGGTAGGGTACGGGTATCGGGTACCCGATTGCGACCTCTGTGGTGAAGGCAAATGGAGATGTCATTAGGTAAGCTATTTTTCACCATTGGAGGGGGGGTTGGTGAACATGCGGTTGTGGATGCACTATGCTGCGGTCCATCTAAAAAACTCAAGCATTTATAAGAATGGAGTGTTTTTTTGTCCCGTTAAATGGAAGTACAGTCAAACAATGCCCACGATCACTGCGGGGGAACCCTTCAACCAGCAGTGGATTTACGAAGCCCTGCAGTGTTTAATATCATCATTCTTAGAAATGTTTGAGATTATGTTTTCGAAGGGACGCAGCACAATGCATTCGCAAGCACGTGTTCACCAGCCCCCCCCCCCCTCTCCAATGGTGCAAAACAGCTTACTTATTGACATTTCCATTTACTTCTGCACGTTTATGAATGACTAGTATACACGTCGTTATTAACTTCATTAAGAACGCTCATTTGTTGATGTGTTCTGTTGGTGTATTATGTCGGTGCTGTGTATTCTCTGTTAAATGCGGACAACCTGCGTGTGTTAATCCCACGGTGCTGTCCGGTGTTTATAAGTGCCACGGTTCAAGCGTGTGTGGCCCTCGGGGTCAGGCTGCGCCGTTGATCATTTCTTCTCCGAAACCTCCGCCACACTCGACCGCCGCCAGCACCTTCCAGAGGTCGATCACACCCCGCATAGATGCCCGCCGCAGTAGTGTGTGTGGCAAAAGATTGAGAGAAGAATTGCTCGGAACGCCGCCTAAACGGGACGACCGCACTCTGATTGCATGTGGTTGCGAAAGCCTGCGAGCACGTGCTAAAGTACCGTGGTTGGCACGAGTCGGGAGATTTTTTTTTTAACCGATGCAAAATTATTACCTTGCTGTAATTGTCTCTGCCCAGATCAGATATTTCACGCTTGTCAATACCGCTTGAGGTGGCATCAATGCTGTGGTTGCAATTTCTTATTCACGGCCAACAACAGCACATTATGTGATAACCATTTGAAATGAGTGGGGTTATTCAGGAAATTCACTCTCGCCAGCCGTATAAACTAACGTTTTGATACCTTACCCAGTGCCGATTTCTGCCCTGCTACATGAACTACGAAGACCTGCCAACCCTGGCGAAACACCTTAACTGCGAATAAAGGGTCGGGGTTCGGACGAAGAGTGACTTGTACCGTCGCTTCCTGCCGGTGAGCAAACGATTGATGGACGACGATGCGTCTGCGATTGTCTCCCCCGCAGGGTCTGCTGCTGTTGGCGGCTTCCCCCGTGAGATTGGCTGAGTGATCTCAAGAGCAGCAAGGAGAAGACGGCCAAGATGGGTAAGTGAAGGGGCCGGGTGAGCGGGGGCGTGCATGTAGCGCACTCAGTTGGCGTGCAGGTACACGCGTGTGTGTGTGTGTGGGAAGTGGTAGTGTAGTGGCCTGGCACAAGCGTCGTGGTGACGTCACCGCCACTTAGTGGCGAATTGCGGTTGTTGTTGTTGTTGTGTAGTGGTTAGCGCGCTGAGCTACGGACCAGGCGACCCGAGATCGATTCCCGTTCACAGCCACCAACAGCAGTGATGATTATCTGAATCGGTCTTGGGCCTCCTGTAGGTCGATTCAGCCTCTGAGTACTTGGTGCGGTGTGTGTAAACATCAGAATTAGGCAGATAAAGGCAGCTGAGCGTGGTGCCGGTCACCCACCCCCTCGTGCGCCACACCGGCCTTCATCAGTGCTCACTAACAGCACCTTGCCCTGACGGTCTGTGAAGGCTACACGGGGGATCTTTGTGTGTGTGGAGGTGGTGTGTCTGGTGTGCATCCAGCATTGCGTACGCATGTGTATACCCACAGGTTTGTCATGATCTGAGACTCGGCTGCCCCGGCTGTCCCTGGGGCTCGTGGTCGTCGTCGTTGTTGTTTGTTGTTGTTGTTTGTTTGTTGTTGTTATTTGATGTTGGTGTTGGGCCCCGGTTGCTTCATCTCGACTTGTGCCGCAGTGTTTCTCTCTCCCCTCTCCCACGTTTATCTTGCCCTGACCCCCTCTCCTCCCTCCTGCGCATGATTTTATTTTCGTAAAGCATCTTGAGGTTATTATCATTTATTATTTATACCGCAGCTCCCATGCAATTTATGTTGATGCGATTGCATGCAGACTCGATACAAATTGAAATGGTTGTGTGTGGAGTTGCTGTATCTAGTAAGCTTGTTCACTCGTGTGTGTACCCGTGTGTGTGTACTGTTGTTTGCATTAGTGTGTGTGTGCCCATGTGTGTGCGAGTGTGTACTTGCGTATGCGAGTTTGTGTATCTGTGTGTGAGTGTGTACCCTTGTGTGTGAGTGTGTATCCTTGTGTGCGAGTGTGTACCCTCGCTTGTAAGTCTGTATACCCACCCATATGAGTGTACCCGAGTGTGTGTACCCTAGTGTGTGTACCCATGTCGGCGAGTGTGTGTACCCGCGTGCGCGAGTGTGTGTACCCACATGTGCGAATGCGGAGCTGCTGGGCTTGTTAGGTCTCCCCCATTGTCCATTGTTGAGTCAGCAGCCACAACATCTGGCAACAATTGGGTTGGGGGTACTGGGAAGAGGTGAGGGGGGGTAGAGAGGAGTAGCATACGGTAAGTAGAGGTGTGAGGGAGAGGTGTGTGAGGTCAAAGACATCTGGGAAAGGTGGTGGGGAGACAAACGTGGCCAGGCATGCTTCTGGCCACTTGCCACTCAAGGTACCGTGGCGGCCTTAATAGATGCTCACGAACAGCACTTGTTAAAGGCCATACAGGGGATATTTGTCTCTGTGGAAGTGAGTGAGCACACGGACGAGTTGGCAAGTGAGAGTGTGTGGGTGTATGTTCCTGAGTGATGGGGAGCAGTGGTGTAACGGTCAGCACGCCGCGCTACAAAGCCAGTGACCTGGAGTTAGATTCCCGCTCGCGTGACGAATATCTTAATTGGTCCTGGGTTTCCCCTAGGACAACTCAGCCTCAAATGAGTACCTGGTGTGGTCTGTAAACATCGCCACTAGGGAGACAAAGGCGGCCGGGCGTAGGGCTGGCCACCCATCCACTCGTGTGCTGTGCCGGCCTTCATAGGTGCACACTAACAGCACTTGCCCCAACAGTCGTTTAAGTCTATACGGGGGGTCTTTGTCCTTGTCCTCGGTGACATAATGAGTGAGAGAGAAGGTGAGTGAGTAAATCAGTTAGGGAATGAGTGAGTGAGGGATAGAACGAGTGTGGGGGGGTGGGTGGGTAGGTGTGGGGGGGTGGGTGGGTAGGTGTGCGTGTGTGAGTGACGCGGTTCGCGGGCCTGCCTCCCCCGCCCTGCCGCCCTGTGCCGCCGCTGTGTTTCTTGTTTTAAGAGGCTATTTTCTCCTGCTCCGTTATCTCCAAACGCAGGAAGCAGGTTTTCAGGGCAGCCACTCCGCGATTGCATGCCGCCTTCAACCGGGCGAGCGTCTCTCGCTCTGCCCGGCTCCTCCTCGTCCGTCGCGCGTTGCCCCGCGAGCTCCTCCCCGCTGCCCACTCCTCCTTCCTCCACGCTCCTCCCTCACTCCATCGCGGCTCCGCTCCTCCTCGCTCGCTCGCTCGCCGTCCCTCCGGGCTCTGCCTGGGCTTGCTTCTCCTCGCTCCTCCCCTTGGCTCTGCGTCTCTCCCCACGGCCGCCCTCTCTGACACTTTCACTTGCACTGGCGGCGACGTTTGCGCGTGTGCGTGCATGCGTGTATGTGCGTTTGTTTGAGTGTTCGTCTGCATGTGTGCGCATGCGTGCGTGAACGCGTCTGCGTGTGCATGCCTACTAGTACATGTGTGTGCGTCTCTGCTTGTGCATGTGTGTATATGCGTGTGTCTGCAAGTGCGTCTGCCTGTGTACGTACGTGCGTGTGCGTGTTTGTGTGTGCTTCTCGGATGTGCACGCGTGTGTGTACGTGCACTTGTGCATCTGAGTGTGCGTGTAAGCACGTATGTGTCTGCATCTGCGTATGTGGCCAGTCTTTCGCGTTCATGTTTGTGCGTGTATGTGTGTGTGTGTGCGCGTCTGTGTGTGTGTTCGTGTGTCTGTGTACATGTGTCGGTGTGCGTGGGCGCGTGCGCGCGTGTGTGTGTGCACGCGTGGGCGTGCGTATGTGTGGTGTCGGGCGGTTCCTGTGCACACGCGCAGCCATGCGAACTCCTTTCCTGTTGGGGGAGTCCGTCGTGAACGACCGCTGTGCCAAAGGACATGCGCCCACCCCCCCTGACCCCTCCTCCTTGCCCCTGCCCTGCCCCACCATCACTCACCGTTGGGGTGGAAGCGCTGCGGTGGTCTCCGTGATCACTGTGTGGAGGCTGAAGGAGGGGCTCACGCCCCTAGGTTCTACGTGTCCACGATGCGGGTGTAGCGGTGGGCACAGTGGTCAGCGCGCTGCGCTGTGAACCCGGCAACATGACTTCGATTCTATACCACGGTGAACGTCGTGGCCCCCCACCCCCCCCGTACCAAACTGCACTTACTAGCGTGGTGAAGTATGATCAAATAATGCCAATGACTGACACGACAGATGCCGTGAGCGGCGAGCGGTGGTGGCGAATGCTAGCACCGTGGAACCGAGGTTTCGTGAATCACTGCACACTGCAAGACTTGGACATCTTTGAAAAAAAGCTAGCTCATCGGATTCCTCCAGTCTAAATAAAGATTCTTATTCTCACAAATTTGGCAAAACTCTCTTCCCGTGGGTATCAGTGAGATGCTACACCCTGGCTTGCCAGGATAATGCAATACAGCAAAAATGTGGACTCCACCTGCTCCCTCCGAATGGGATAGAGTGTTTCCCCCTTGCATGTGTGGATTTACTCCACACATGCTCCGGTTTCCTCCCACAGGCAAATACTCAATAATTGACCGATAACACCCTGAGCATATGGAGAACTGCAAATCTTGGGCAATTGTTGGCGCCATCTCACCATGTCGTTGCTTTCTTCAAGAGTGAGAAAATACTGTGCACGTCACAAGTTGAAACTATTCCATTATAAATATGATTATAATTGATGCCTGAGTGAAAACAGGAGATGGCTTCCGACTGATCACCCATGTGATTATGTGCACTGGTGATTGCTGCTCACTCTGAGAAGGAATTGGAGACTCTTCTGCTGAACATCAGCCTCACCATCAGCGCGACCAAAACAATGCACCTACCTGGGTAATTTATGTTTGTCAAACATTCCACCCTCTCATCTCTGCATGGCTCATTGGGGTGGTTGAGGAGAGAGAGGGGAGGGGTTCCCGACACCTGGCCATTGTGCTCATGCTGCTGCACCAGAGCTGGTGTGAGTGTCGGCGCGAGTGTCAGTGTGGGTGTGTTTCGGTGCAGGTGTTGGTGAGTTTTCTGTGCAGGTGAATATCTGTGCGAATGAGTGTCGGTGCGAGCGTCGGTGTCGGTGAGTGGCGGTGCAGGTGCGTGTCGATGTTGGAGAGTGTTGGTGTTAGCGAGTGTTAACTTTGTGCGGTGTGTGTTTTTGCCCATGTACAGACGAGCAACGGGCGCTCCACTCCATCATGAAGGACCTGGTGGCCCTCAAGATGTCCCAGCGGCAGAGGGCCCCAGGGGTCGACCCCGGTCGGCATAAGGGCCCCGCAGCACCCTCGGTACAAAGCACAGGCCCCCCCCACCCCTTCCTCCAGCCACCCTCAACCACCACAGCTGCCCTCACTACGACCCCTTCCTCCGCAGCATTTCATCTCGACAACCACTCTCACAACAGCCGCCCTCTCTAAAGCTACCCTCACTACAGTCACCCTTCCCTACAACCACCTCCCTACAGCTACTCTATATCTGCCTTATCCACAGCCACCACCTTTAGAAGCAGCCTCCTCCATACATTGGTCCCTTCACCATCGTCCACCAAGCAGCCTCGTCCATGGGCCTCGCACGGTAGTGTGGCCTGTGCCCCAAGCCAGTTCTTTGGAGGCGAGGGGCGGCCGATTGCGCAGAGAGAGATTTGTCGAACTCCCACACCCGCTGAGGCCATGAAGTGGCCAGGAGATGGCAGCCACGGCGAGCCTGTTCTTGAACCCAACTGTGTTGGCCCTTCAGTGCGTGGGGAGCCACACTATCCCATACGGATAGGACAGATGATATTAGTTGACACTGTGCTTTACCGTCTTCTCCCACACGAAAGGAGTTTCGAAATTATTGTGTGATCCACCAACCATGGCCTCCACAGTGCTGGATTACAGGCCACGAGCATGGTGACCAATGGTGACCACTTACCTGGGTTGACAATGGTTAACATCAACGACACATGGTATCAGAACCTGTCCTGGGCCTTTCCTAGGTCAGCTCAATGTCAAATGAATATACGTGTTACGAAATTTAAACATCAGCACTGGGGAGACACAGACGGCGAGATTCAGTGCTGGCTACGCAACCCTGTGTGTGCTGTGTAGGCCCGAATAAGCGATCGCTAACAGCACTTGCCCCAATAGTCTCTTAGAGGCTATGCTGGGGTTTTTTGTGTGTGTGGGTGTTGAGAGCGACTGGTTTAGCGTTGCACACACTGCATTATAATACCGGCGACCTGAGTTGAGTACCCATTTATGTCACAGCAGAATCTGTCCTTGGTCGGTTAACTCGGCCTTACACGAATACTTGGGGAGACGAAGAAGATGGGACATAGATAGCCGAAGTATGCATGTGTGGTCAACTTCTTTCGCACCGTACGTATCCAACTGTGCTAACCGGACGTGCGGGAAGATGGTGCTGGCCACACCATCTCTCTGTGTGCAATGCTGGCCCTCATTATGGTTTGCTCATGGCACTTGCCTCAACAGGTCTGTAAGCTGGTGAGATATGACGCATGAGCACGTTTCATTTGTGGTCTTTTTATATCTTTTTACAGACCGACGTTCGGGTCAAGTTCGAGTACCGGGGAGAGAAACGGTGAGACCTGGACAAGTATAGATTCATGAAACATGACGTTCAGACACTCACTTCGGTATTCCGGCAAACAGACAGACAGACACTCAGTCAGACACGTACTTAAACATATGAGACGTGTATTCATACAATGAGATGGACATACACTGAGACACACACAGGGGAATGGATATCGACACTGAGACTGACATACAAAACAGACACTCCTGCATACAGATGCACATTCAGACACTCATTCTGTCAAACAGACATAGACATTCGGGCAGACTTCTGCTCATTTATATCAACTGACAGACACAATTAGACACACATTGAGGTAGAAAGAGACTCGGATACAAATACTCGAGCAGATGCACATTTCACAACAGCTGCCATACAGCACTCAGCGGCAGTGACGTCACCACAGGGGTTGTGCCAGGCGAGGTACATTTGAGGCCATCCTGTGAAGTGCAGGAGGTCACAGGACGGGCCCAAGTGTTCTGGGATAACTGACTGAGATGACTGGCATTTGCGCCACCTGTGCTCACTACTGCGCCAACTTGCTGCGTTTTAGCCGCCCGGCGCTCTAATCCTTGTTGTGAGCGCTCCGCTGCTGTTCTCTGTTTTTGGAGGGCGACTGCCTCCAACTGCCCAGTAGCGTCCTTCAAGAACATCCTCCTCCTCTGAGGCCTGGAGCTGAGCAGACAGATCCTCCTGTACCAATTCAGCCAATCTCTACACACATACTCGGGCACAAATGTACTTGGACAACCGAAAAGATTTAGAGCTTAGAGCTCCGTACAATGCAACGCGCTGTCATATTTATTTCAAAAGTTTATAAGAGTGACCGTGCCTCTGCTTCAGGATCATCCAGTTCCCACGGCCTGTCAAACTCGAGGCCATCCGGCTGAAGGCACAGGCCGGCTTCGGGCAGATGATGGAGCTGCACTACACCAATAACGAGGTGAGGCCCTCACTTTGTCATTCAGCTCAGACCCTTCACCATTCCCTCACTCGCTCACTTGCTGTCTCACTCGCATGCTCGCTCATGCACTCGCCCGCCTGCTCGCTGACTTATTCACTCGCCTACTGATTAAGTGACTCGCTCATACGCTCACCCACCCTCTCCCTCACTCAACTTCTCACTTCCTTACTTACCTCCTCACCCCCCCTTCTCCCTCACTCGCTCACTAACCCACCCACTCAGTCACTTGCTCACCTGCTTATTCATTCACTCACGCACTCACTCTCTCGCTCACTCACTCACTGCTCACCCACCCGTCGACCTGCATACTCACTCGCCTGCTCACTTGGTTACTCGCTCGCTGGCCCACCCTCACTCGATCACCCCACTCGCCCAACCACCCATTCACTCGCACTCGCTCACCCACCCACCCGCTCACAGGTGACCCCCCCCACCCCTGGCCGTACAGTAGATGTCCCTCGTAACCCCGTGGCGTCGTTGTTGCTCTGTGAGATGACGATGGTGCCAACGACCCCCCCCCCCCCTTCTCCCTGTGTGCGGTGTGCAGCTGCTGATCCCGCTGATCTCGCAGGACGACCTAGACAAGGCCGTGGGGCTGCTGGACTGGAGCGCTCACATGAAGAGCCTCCGCATCCTCCTGGTGGCCGTGGACTGCGACACTCGCGTGAGTACGGCGCACCTCCCTCTTCGCGCATCGTGCGCCACGCTCGCCGTTCGCGTCCCGCTTCGTAGCGTGAGGCTATCGCGACGGAAGGCACTGCTGTGTTTCGCGGACAAGGTCTGCGGTGGTTTTGCAGCAGGGGCCAATTTTGTCGGATATCAATGTAAATCGTGCCTTACAGCGATTATAAAATTGTACGTAACATGAGAGTGGGTTGAGATAAAGAGTGGGGTTGTCATTAAAATTGGTGTAGTTATGGTGACAGGAGAACAGGTGGGAGTGGTTAAGGAGCGATTAGGGTAGTGATAGGGGTTGGGGTAGTGATAGGGTTTGGAGTAGTGATAGGGGTTGGAGTAGTGATAGGGGTTGGGGTAGTGATAGGGGTTGGGTAGTGATAGGGTTTGGAGTAGTGATAGGGGTTGGGGTAGTGATAGGGGTTGGGGTAGTGATAGGGGTTGGGTAGTGATAGGGGTTGGGGTAGTGATAGGGGTTGGGGTAGTGATGGGGTTGGGGTAGTGATGGGGGTTAGGGTAGTGATAGGGGTTGGGGTAGTGATAGGGTTTGGAGTAGTGATAGGGGTTGGGGTAGTGATAGGGGTTGGGGTAGTGATGGGGGTTGGGGTAGTGATAGGGTTTGGAGTAGTGATAGGGGTTGGGGTAGTGATAGGGGTTGGGGTAGTGATGGGGGTTGAGGTAGTGATGGGGGTTGGGGTAGTGATAGGGGTTGGGGTAGTGATAGGGGTTGGGGTAGTGATAGGGGTTGGGGTAGTGATAGGGGTTGGTGTAGTGATAGGGGTTGGTGTAGTGATAGGGGTTGGGGTAGTGATAGGGGTTGGGGTAGTGATAGGGGTTAGGGTAGTGATGGGGGTTGGGGTAGTGATAGGGGTTGGAGTAGTGATAGGGGTTGGGGTAGTGATAGGGGTTGGGGTAGTGATAGGGGTTGGGGTAGTGATAGGGGTTGGGTAGTGATAGGGGTTAGGGTAGTGATGGGGGTTGGGGTAGTGATGGGGGTTGGGGTAGTGATGGGGGTTGGGGTAGTGATAGGGGTTGGGGTAGTAATAGGGGTTGGGGTAGTGATAGGGGTTGGGGTAGTGATAGGGGTTGGGGTAGTGATGGGGGTTGGGGTAGTGATAGGGGTTGGAGTAGTGATAGGGGTTGGAGTAGTGATAGGGGTTGGGGTAGTGATGGGGGTTGGGGTAGTGATAGGGGTTGGGGTAGTGATAGGGGTTGGGGTAGTGATAGGGGTTGGGGTAGTGATAGGGGTTGGAGTAGTGATAGGGGTTGGAGTAGTGATAGGGGTTGGGGTAGTGATGGGGGTTGGGGTAGTGATAGGGGTTGGAGTAGTGATAGGGGTTGGGGTAGTGATAGGGGTTGGGGTAGTGATAGGGGTTGGAGTAGTGATAGGGGTTGGAGTAGTGATAGGGGTTGGGGTAGTGATGGGGGTTGGGGTAGTGATAGGGGTTGGGGTAGTGATGGGGGTTGGGGTAGTGATAAGGGCTGGGGTAGTGATAGGGGTTGGTGTAGTGATAGGGGTTGGGGTAGTGATAAGGGCTGGGGTAGTGATAGGGGTTGGGGTAGTGATAGGGGTTGGAGTAGTGATAGGGGTTGGGGTAGTGATGGGGGTTGGGGTAGTGATAAGGGCTGGGGTAGTGATAGGGGTTGGGTAGTGATAGGGGTTAGGGTAGTGATGGGGGTTGGGGTAGTGATAAGGGCTGGGGTAGTGATAGGGGTTGGGGTAGTGATAAGGGCTGAGTAGTGATAGGGGTTGGTGTAGTGATGGGGGTTGGGGTAGTGATAGGGGCTGGGGTAGTGATAGGGGTGGAGGCAGTTGCAGTAGCAGGATTGGCTCGAGGGTTGTTTTAAGTGAGGGACGGAAGCTGCAGGTTCGAGTGAAGATGATTGCTCTGTGTGCTGCAGTACGAGATGATTCCAGTGAAGGGGAGCGAGAAGGGAGAAGCAGCGAGAGAGCGAGACTGGGCGCAGGGTGAGGGAGCCACAACGAGGGACAGTAGAGACGCTGAAGTTAGTGCGGTTGGAGTTTTGTTGAGTGTTTGATATCTAAAACATTTCTTTCTGTCGCCTTTCCAAGTTCCTCCGAGTCCGGCTTAGTGAGGTTTTTACTGCGCCTACTTCAACATCACACACTCACCCTGCCTTGCCCACCTCTAGAGGTCACTGTTACGCTGAAGTTGAGGGTGCAGTGTTCCTGCATAGGCGCAGCTGTTTGTGTTGCCTGCCAGAGGAAAGTTGCAGGTGGCACTGCAACATAGAGCAACGTTGTTTTAGAAAATAATTTAAATGCATTTTATTGTACATTCTAGCACGAGCACATCCAGAGTGGGGGGTTGGTGGGGGCTGGGGCATGATGACGTAATCACTCAGATGTGCGTGGTGACATCACCGCGGTGCATTTGCCCACCAATAGATCAGCCAGCCAGGCAGCAAAACTTGTTTTATAATAGAATATGACATGCTGGTCTCATGGGCATCACGGCAACAGTGAATCCAGTATGGCTGAATTTATTTTGATTTGAAACTTTCGTGACTGCAGGAATCCGTACTCTTTGGTTCTTTCGGTGAAGCAATAGAACTGCTGGATTATTTTCCACTGCTGGATTATTTTCCACTGCTGGATTATTTTCCACTGCTGGATTATTTTTTCTGCCTGAGGACGACCGCTTGTGTTGCGATTGAAACGTCGTGATATATTATTTTTTGTTTTATTTTATTTTTCTACCTACGTGACTTTACCAAAAGAACCAAAGAGTATGAATTTATTTTCTTCACATTTGTAACAGAGTGGAAACGTTTGATGAGAGAAACAGGATTTATATGAAGGTAACACATTCGCTTTGGTTATTTCCCTTCATGCTACTGTTTAAGTGATTAATTTACTGCCCCTTTGTCAAATCACTGCTGGATGAAGGCCTCCCCGCACCATGTCAGTCACGGGGATTGTTTGACCGTACTTCACTGTGTGCGGGTCAGGTGAAGGGATCGCACCCAGGACTGGTTCAGATATCACCGATATCAGCCCTGACCAGGAAACAAAACTCTGCCCGCTGGGGCTCATTGCACCGCTGCTCCACCGTGCGTGCGTTCCTTACATTCCATCTTATATAACCGGTTGTGTCTCTTTGATGCATAGGCTGAGCAGTTACTTTTCCTTCTCCGCAACCGCCATCTGTCTCGCTGGGTCACGTCGCCCACGCAAGAGAGGGGATGTGGTAATTGGACATTCCGGCCCCTATTTATGTAGGAGCACATGCAGGGGGAGGGGGGCTAGTTTCGTTAAAGGCTCAGGAACATGCAGTTGCCTTGTTGAACATCGGATTTTTGTGCAACATGTGAAGAGTACGACAAAGTTACTTGCAGGAGAGCTGCACCATTTAAGCTCGGCTGTCGTAGAATCGGAGGGGCAAATAGGACGTTCAGATACCTTTGGTGGCCAACCACACATTGAAGACATCCCCTGTGTAGCTTTCAACAGACTTTTGGGGCAAGTGCTGTTAGTGAGTAGCACTCGTGAAGGCCAACGCGGCACACGTGAGGGGGTGGCTGGTAAACACCACGCCGGAGCCACCTTTGTTTGCCAGGTACTCATTTAAGGCTGAGTGGACCTAGGGGAGGCCCAGGACTAGTTCAGATATTCGCCACTGTTATTATGGGCAAGAATAAAACTGGAGGTCGTCAGGTTTGTAGCGCAGTGCGCCAACCGCTACACTGTCACTCCCCCAAGCCACACATGAACACGCGCGCACACACACACGGGCCTCTTGTAAGAGACAGAAATTGAGTGAGCACACTACAAGTAATAAACACACAGTGTTATTCTTGGTTCTTTCGGTAAAGTCACGTAGAAGGGAAATAATAAAATAATACAAATAAACCAAATAATAAAGTAAAAAAAATTAAACATACTAAAATACAATTGAGAATTGTATTTTATTATTTTATTAAAATACAATTGAGAATTGTATTTTATTCTGTTTTATTTTTATTATTTTATTATTTCCCTTCTATGTGACTTTACCGAAATAACCAAGAATATGAATTCCTGCAGTCACGAAAGCTTTAAATCAGAATTTAAACACAGTGTTGTTGCCAGGTTACACGTGTTCTCCTCAAGTTCACGATTAGTGCCGCCCAGATGCTTGCAGTGGCAGATAAATATAAGATGCAAGGCAGCGTCAAGCTGGCATAGCTATGCTTGCTCATGGCAAAAAAATAAGAAAGCCAACGGAATATCAACGTATTGGCGATACACCGGTACGCGTTACGTAAAAATGTAATGTTTGCACAATGATTGTTTATTTTCCACAACTTCGATCAGAAAATCTTGTGGAGTACATCAAAATCAGTTCTCGTGATGTCGAATGAGTCGGAAGACGAATGTCAGTTCAAATTTAGATTTTATTCTTGTTTTAGGAGGACCGGTGTGTTAAACTTCGCCGGTGTTCCGCCAATATGTCCATATAGCTTTGTTAATGTATGCATTGTCTTTGAAACTGATTGGTCTGCCCCTTGATGGCGGTGTTTCACTGAGCACTTGACCAAGGTCGCCAAAAGGTGGTTAGAACGTACATTTTCAAATTTCAAAACTCCCTTTCAGTGGGTGTCAAGGAAGTGCCACGTCCTGGCTCGCCAGGAGAAGGCGGTACAGCAGGAATGTGCACTCCACCTGTTCCGTCTGCATGGGTGCTCCGGTGTCCTTCCACATGTCAAACACTCGTTATTAATTGGCCGATAACATCTTAATATATAGGGGACCGCAAAGCTTGGACAATTGTTTGGAGCCGGCTCACCGCGTGTGTGGTTCCCTCACGCCTCTGAAGCCGACCTCTCTCCCTGTCTTCGCGCGAGTGATTGAACACTGTGCGTGTTACGATCTGGAACTATAGGTGAATATCGTTTGCCAGCCGGTTCCAAGTGCTAAGCCACAGACCTCACGTGGCTGCGGGACATTATGAAATGAAGTCGTGGGGCCGTATTTATCCCCTCGGCTCGGCTGTGGGCCCCCTACCCGCTGACGCACGCGCGCACACACACGCACGCACACACGTGTGTGCCACTCACGGTGGGGGCCGCTCGTTGTGCCGTTGTGTCGAGCAGGACGACTCGGGGCTGGGGAAGCCGGCGATGACTGTCAGCGGGAAGATGAAGCCGTCCCACTCGCTGGGAGACATCGCGCGCTGCGGACCTCACGCACCGCGCAGCCGCCACCTCTCTGTCGGTACGCGCTTGCGCACACCGCTGCTGCGGCGGCGGCGCTGGGCTGCCCACGTGCACTGCCGCACGCTGTGGCTGCTGCTGCCCCTGCTGGTAGCTGTCGGTACGCGCTGGCAGACAACCAAACCAGTGCTGGTACTGTTTGTACGTGCTGACAACATACCACGTGCCCCCGGAGCCGGTGGTGCGCTTTTGGCACATACCAACGCTTGTGCTGTACCATCGGTATGCATTGATAGCCACTGCTATTGGTGCTCGGTACAACCAGTCATGTTGTTACGCGCCAAATCACCCCAAATCCAGCCATGTACTGCTCACTAACAGCACTTGTCTCAACATTCTGTTGAAGGCTACATGGGGATTGTTTTGTCTTTGCACCTTCGTATGGGTGAGCGAGCAGTGGTGTGTTAATACGAGTGAGTGTTGGTGAGCTTTCGCGTGCGTTAGTGCGGGTATGTGTGCGGTGTGTGTTTATTGCCTCGGTGACTTCCTGCGGTGCGTGCCTGCCTGCCGAGGCCTTCCCCTTCCTGCCCCTCGCATAGGCCGCCATCGCTACAATAGGTTGGGCTCTTTGCCCATCTGATAGCCCGGGGTGGGCGGGCCGCAGGGCCTGGGGCTGCGTGGCCCAGGGAGGCTGGGGAAACCTGGAGAGCGATCGGTTACCAACGTCTTGCGTATGTAACGTACTCGTTTTAAACCACGCGGGGAGAGCCCGTGGAGACTGAGGGTCTCATTTTCAAGGCAGACCCGGGTCACAAAGCCATGCAGTTTGCAGTGTTCACACTCTTGACTTCCTGGATTTTGTCCCGAGGATGTTTGACGCGGCTGCAAGCGAAAACCTTGTGTCTGATTGATTAATTCGGCTGTGGGAATTGTTCTTCAGCTGAACCGGTGTGAGTCGAAACAATAATAATCGGTGGGTTGAACCATTGTACACCATGTGACAATTAGTTTGTTTGGATATGTCTGGTGGTTGGGGGGGGTAAGTTTAACATCAATATGGCGAGACCATTTTCGTGGCCTGACCCAAGCATCTATTGTGGATCAGTACGTATCTGTCAGCCCATTGCTGGATGAGGGTCTCCCCATGCAAAGCCGTTGGGGTTATTCGATCATACTTCACCATCCTGGTCAATGTGGGGTGCTTAAGGCCGGGAGCATATAAGTAAAGTGCAACGATTGATTTGGCTGCATTGCCCTCTCCCACAGGCTATAGCACCGTGCTGTGCCACATTTGGGATGTCTGGCAGCATGTGTTGTGTGGCGTATGTGGCCGTATGCAATTTCCGTGGCGTGTATGTACTTGCGTCTTATTTATGCGTTGCTGTACGACTGTGTGGTGTTGTGCATTGTGGGATGTGCGTTTGTGCTTTGTGTGGTGTATGTTGGCACGTGACGCTGTCCTGTCTGTACGTATTGCTGTGTGGTGTTGCGTCGTGTGCTGCGGTTTGTTTTGTGGGGAGCAGTGGTTATCGCATTGCGCCATGAAGCCGGCGACCCGAGTTTGATTCCCACTCACGACCAATAACAGTGGCGGAGATTTGTACTGATCCTGGTGGGACCTCCCTTAGGTCGACTCGGCTTGAAACGAGTACCTGGTGTGGTGTGTAAACATCATCACCGCCGAGGAGACAAAGGCGGCCGGGCGTGGCGCCGGGCCACCTTCCCCCCTTCGTCCATATTTTTGCTCCCAGTAATTGTCGCAAAAGTCTGTACGGGGGGGGCGTGGGGATGGTGAATCTCTGTCCTCGTTGCGTGCCGGTAATCGTTCCGCGGTGTTTGCTGCGTGTCGACCCGTGTTGCGGCGGGGGCCGTTGCGCCAGGCTCGCCGTCGGGAGAGCGCAGCGCGTCCCCTCCGCCCGGACACGTCCCCGCCGGGCAGCAGCAGGTGGCGCGCCAGGGCTCCTACACCAGCATCAACAGCGAGGGGGAGTTCATCCCCGAAGCGCTGGATCCCTGCGTGAGTGTCTGCCCTCTTCCGCTCACGCACGGCCGGATGAGTAGCCAATTGTTGTGTTGTGTCCACACTGCCACTGGTTGTGTTGTGGCCACACCACCAATTGTTGTGTTGTGTCCAAACCACCACTTGTTGTGTCCACACCACCACTTGTTGTGTCCACACCACCACTTGTTGTGTTGTGTCCACACCACCACTTGTTGTGTTGTGTCCACACCACCACGTGTTGTGTTGTGTCCACACCACCACTTGTTGTGTTGTGTTCACACCACCACTTGTTGTGTCCACACCACCACTTGTTGTGTTGTGTCCACACCACCACTTGTTGTGTCCACACCACCACTTGTTGTGTTGTGTCCACACCACCACTTGTTGTGTTGTGTCAACACCACCACTTGTTGTGTCCACACCACCACGTGTTGTGTTGTGTCCACACCGCCACTTGTTGTGTCCACACCACCACGTGTTGTGTTGTGTCCACACCGCCACTTGTTGTGTCCACACCGCCACTTGTTGTGTCCACACCGCCACTTGTTGTGTTGTGTCCACACCACCACTTGTCGTGTTGTGTCCACACCACCACTTGTTGTGTTGTGTCCACACCACCACTTGTTGTGTTGTGTCCACACCACCACTTGTTGTGTTGTGTCCACACCACCACTTGTTGTGTTGTGTCCACACCACCACTTGTTGTGTTGTGTCCACACCACCACTTGTTATGTTGTGTCCACACCACCACTTGTCGTGTTGTGTTCCACACCACCACTTGTTGTGTCCACACCACCACGTGTTGTGTTGTGTCCACACCACCACTTGTTGTGTTGTGTCAACACCACCACTTGTTGTGTCCACACCACCACTTGTTGTGTTGTGTCCACGCTAAGTGGTATTGCATCAATGTGACCTTTGAGTTTTCAGATTTCACGTTGGGCTCCCTCCTGTGGGCAAGGGTTTAGTTGGTGCATAGTACAGGATAATTGTTCTTCTTTTGGATGTGAATTGAGTAGCAGCTCTGAATCGACGTCTAGTCCAGCAGCTGGCTTCCAGGCACAATCGGTGAATCCCACAGAGAGTCATCGACTCGCACGGAGAGCCATCGACCCGCAGAGAGACCCATGGACTGTCACAGAGAGACCCATAGGCTCGCAGTGGACATGAATTCACGATGTGTGCCACTGTTTGTTGTGGTCCGCCGCAGTCACATTTGAGAGATTCATTTTCTATTTATGGAATTGGTGATTGCGCTTGCCGTGGGCAGTGCGGATACGACGCAAGGCAGTGCGGGCGGGCGGGCAGTGACCCTCCGGATGGCTGGGTGGTGGCGGCGGTGGTGGAAGTGCCCGTCGTTGAACGATGCCCCCCCCCCAACTACCACACCCCTAACATCCCGACGTCTCCACCCCCTGGTGCCCACCAACGCGCGGGAGAACCCCCATGCCCTTCCCTCCCGCGGCCACCTTGGGCATCCTTTGGCTTCCAGCCAATCAGAACGCTCGGAACAGACGGACCAACAGGCACGTTATATTTTTTCTTGTAAAAAAAAAATTATGTTGCCGTTAATTATTTTGGCAAAAGCGTTTCTCTCGTTTCCGACTCCCCCTTGAAATATCTTTTTTGTTGCTTTCTCCGTGCAGTCTCAACGCAGCCGTCCGATTCTCCTCGAGGGTTTTCACAATATTAGTATGTTTTATTTATTCGTATAGACCTTGGATTGTGATAACTCCAATTAGCACGGTTGGCTATGTACGGGGCAAAAGATGTTCGACATATGCATACAACTTGGATGTAGACCTCGGTTTGTGAGAACTTGGACGATCGTTTCCCCGGAGTCGATTGCCAGTGGCCAAGTTCAGCATACGATTTAATTACCGTACAAGATGTGTTTCTGCCACTCCAGGACAAAAGGGCTTAAAAAGTGTGACCCGTTCAGAAAATGGTAAGCATTGATTAAGAAGTTAGATATTCCTTATCCCTGCATTTGGCAAGAGTTTTAGTGTTTGCCATTAATCCCGCATTTACTCTGAGGCTGCCTTTGTTACACGGCAGATTTAATTACCGCAGACGACGGGGGACAACGATGCTGCTGCTGGTACGGGTCATGAGACCCTCTCTCGGTGTAAGCGTTGAGCACATTGCCCGATGAACCTGGTGACCCAAGCTCGACTCCCAGCCGCGGCTAACTCAAGTGGGGAATATCTAAACTGGTCCGGATTTGCGCCCCCTAGTTCGACCCCAGTCTCTCCCGTACCTCCGATTAGCACAGTTGGACTGCTGCGTACGGTGCGAAAGAAGTTCAACGTGCATATGTAAAGGAGCACCTGGTGCGGCGTATAAACACCAGAGCCGGGGGAGAGAAAGACGGCCAGGCTGGAGTGTTCGGCAAACCGCCCTCTTGCCAGCCTTTATAGATGCCTGCGTGACTACACTTGCCTTCGTCTTTGGCAATAACAATGTTATTGCCCTTCTCTTACCCACTGAGTGGTGTCAGGCCTCGCATACCAAACACTCTGTAATGGTGTCTGGTATGCGAGAACCCCGATCAGGAGGAGGGTGTGAGAACGTGTGTCGTGGTAACAGGTGAAGGATGTTAGCTGAGTGATTGAGGTGTGTTGACGTGCACATAGTTGTGTGGAGGTGTTTGAGTTGTACGTTTCAGGCGTGTGTTTTGGGAGCGATGCTGCGTGCCGTTGTTGTGTACAGACGGTGGAGTAGATATTGAGTGGGGTCCACGGGCCAGACGCTGGGCTACGAAGAGAGGGCGCCCATACGAACCACGCTTGCCTACCAAGGAGAGCCTCGCTCAGTTTCATGACTGTGTTCCAGGAGGGGTCCTACCAAGTTTTCATAGTTGGCAGTGATGATTGCGATGTAGATTCCAATTGAGGAATTTTGCGGGAATTTCTTTGGTTATTTGGACCACGACGCTGGCACACAATGGCCTTGCCTTGCGAATGACCTCACGCGGTGACCTTTAACGTCCACCGTGAGTGAAGTGGATGGCGCGTAGTGGTATATTTACAATTAATGATCCCGCGGTATTAACCAGGATGGCCCTGCCGGATTTGAATCGCGAACCTCTGCATCAGGTGGCGAACGTGGCAACCGCTGGGGCTGCGTCAGCGCCCACGCTACGGAGCTGCGTGAAGAGGTGCGTGTGCTGAGGCAAGGAGGTGCGTGATCCGCTGGCTGTGTGTGCCTATCTGTGCGCAGATGCTGGACCCACTGAGCAGTGCGGACAACTCAATCGGCGGGAGCTGCCAATCTCTGGACAGCTGCTTGAGGTATGAGCACCCCCGCCCACAAATATAAAGATCCCCCGTATGGCCTTAACAGACTGTCGGGGCAAGTGTTGTTAGCGAGTAGCACCTATGAAGGCCGGCATGGCACACGAGGGGGTGGGTGGCCAAGAGCGCGCCCGGCCACATTTGTATCCCCAGTGCTCATGTTAACGCATCGCACGAGGTACTCATTTGAGGCTGAGTCGACTTAGGAGATGCCCAGGATCGGTTCAGACAATCATCACTGGTGTTGGTGGCCGTGAGCAGGGATCAAACCCGGGTCACTGAGTTTGTAGCGCGGCGCGCTAACTGTTGCACCATCGCTCCCCCTTCCGACACCACCCTTATACCACCCAGTCTCAGCACAAAGGGGGGGAGGTGGGGGGCGGCGAGCGGGCCTGTAGTGGGGGGGGGGGGGTCTCCCCTTCTCCTAACTTGGCCGGGATGGCAAAGAATGTTCCCTTCCACAGAAACATTCTGCTTCTCTCTGTTCTCGCTGGTTTTAAACGTAATGCCCATTCTAACTTAATTTGTACAGAGTGTTCTGCAACATTATATTCGTAATAATTATATAACTACTGCACAGAATACTAATAATGATCATCAATAGAACGTTGTCTTATTTATCCAGGAGATTTTGCACTGAATCTCGCACTGCTTTGAGATATCTGGCCTATTATTCTCTTTTCTGGGGTTATTTTGCAAAACCACAAGAATATTCCCTGAACACGTGATTTTTACTCCTAATGAGATGAGATGATGAATAATTAAAATATCTCACAGTTGCACTGCAGCACTCTGTGTTGATAACAGCCCACAGAAGCATATGCCACCGAGCTACTGCTAAGATCCCTTCAAGTGACCTCTGTTCCCACCGAGTATGGCGCAGCGCTTTCCCGCTCGCCCTATCACTGCAAGTAACGTTCTTCTCGTGACAGTCAAATAAACAAAAAGTAAATTCTAACAGTTGAAATTTAGCAAAATTAAGTGCTCTTCCAAATGTAATGTTACGGTTGTTGACTGGGCAGAGACCGTCAAATCCTTATGCTTGAGAACTCGGTTTAATCACAGGAAGTGGCTGAAACCTGGATTCGTACCCAAGACTCAGCCCGGTGGTAGCTCAGTGCTCTGATGTCTGGGCCAACCAGGCCACCCCTTTGAGTCTCTCCCCTGTGCTGCCCTTCCCTCACCCTGCTGCCCTCCCTCACCCTGCTGCCCTCTCAACAGTGACAGCTACCATCCAGGACGTATGTCCAGGGCTCAGAGCTTCCCAGACAACCATCACGAGTACTCGGGTAAGGGACCGCTGTTTGCAGAGGAACAATCCGTGTAGGACTCTTTCGTGGGCCGCACTCTACTGATGAGGCCATAGAGTCGGAACAGGGTGCTCTATTTCCCAGCTGTTGAGAAAACCATTGGTCCCGAAGAATTAACCCAATTTTTTTGGTGTGAAACGAACTGCTTTCGGTTTACTTTTAATCAGCATAAATGCAATAGATGGAACTGGGCTGCGTGTCTCGGGTTGCGCGACATGTTTAAAGTTTGGCCATTCTCTCTTGAAAGAAAGAGGATTTTAAAACGTTGTGGCATTACAGCACTCTAGGGACATCACTGCAATATTCGAGTCTCGCCATCGACGATGACCTGGAGTCGAGGGACCATTCTGTTGCCATGGTCGCGTTTGTGTGATTGGGTGAATGTGCGAGACTGCGCTGGTGTAACCTGCGTGTGCGCGGTGTCCGTGCGGCCGCCCCCTCTTGTAGAGTACGAGACGAGGCTGATGGAACGTGCTGGCAAGGGCGGCACCTATCCCCGGCGCCTCCAGGGCTTCTTCCAGCAGCATGACAACAGCGATGGTACCGCACCTGCCCGCACGGCGCCGGCCATTGACCCTCTGCGCTGCACACCTCGTGCATGCAATGCGTCATCGGTTATTGCTGCATGTGTAGTGACCATGTGGTCAATAGTGCCCCTTCGTCTATCAGAGATACCGTGATGTCATTCGCAAGAGCAGGCCATTGTGTGTCGGCGTCACGGTCAAAATTGGCAAAGTTCGAAAATGTACACCACAAATCACTCGGTTGGGATCACACACACACAAAGAGCCGTAGCAATCATCGCCTCCTACTAGCAGACCAATGCCCCCCAGGTCACCCTTGCAAATGAGACTCATCCTGGTCTTGGTTGAGTTCTCATCTGGTTACACAGAATAAACGTCGATGAACTTGAACTGATGCTTGTGTTGTAGGGGTGACCAGTGGTGGTGGTGGTGTTGATCGTGATTATGAACCAGATATTGTCATGGTTATTCCAACGATCATAATCTTTAAGCTGTTGTTGATCATGATTCTGCTTTTGTGGTCATGGTAACGATGATGATGATGCTGTTTCACCTGTTGTAGTAATCGGGGTACGCTGCGATAAGGCGAAAGACACTACGATGTATCATGCGGTATAATATCCACGATGAAAGCACGGTAAAAAGTGAAAAACAGTTACTAAATTATGGGAAAGCGCGTTGGTTGTCAGATCATGAAACATTTCACGTTTACATTTCACGTTTGAAGTGTATTGGTGACGAGAGCAGCACTGACCGCTGCGGTTGTGGTGACTGGTGGTGACTGGTGGCGTTGGTGGTGGGGTTGGGTGCGACGCAGGTCGACGGACCTTCCCGCGGGTGCGGCGCCCCTTCCCCCTGGCGTTCGGGCTGGGCCAGGGCAACTGCGGCGGTGGTGGCGGCGGCGGCAGCAGCAGCAGCAGCCTGTTCCCCGGGAACGGAGACGGCGGCGCCGTACCGCGGCCACGCCGGCCCAGCGACATGGAGGGCCTGGCTCCCTCCGCCAACGACGTGAACCACTCCAGCCGATGTGAGTGGCCGGTCGACACGCCGCGTGCGCAACCCGGCGACCAAAGTTCGCCGCCGGCAAGCGGTGACGGATATCTGAACCCGTCCCGGGCCCCTCCCCCGAGGTCGACTCGGCCTCAAATGAGTATGTAGACAATTCCGCTAGGGGGGCGAAGGTGGCCACGCATGGTGCTGGCCACCCCACCCCTCACTCGTGTGCCGTGCCGGCCTTCATAGGTGCTCGCCAACAGCACTTGCCCCGACAGTCTGTAAGGCTATCTTATCTTTCTTTGGTGGTGCGAGGGCAGTGTAGTTATAGTAGTGTCGAGGCTCAAGTCTGTGAATTTCATGAGGCCGTTCTCTTCGTCGAGGCAACAAAAGCAGTCGGACATGCAGTGAGACTCTCTTAGTTATTGGATGTTTATGTAAGAGGCAGATAATCCCCCCCATCTTGCCCCAATATTATCAAGTCGGTCAATCGGTGAACTCAGTAATTCCCTTGAAATACATACTAGCTTAACTATCCGGCTTCGCCCGGGACTTGGATACACCACGCCTGGCCGCCTTTGTCTCCCTAATGGCGATGTTCACACACCACACCAGTTACACATTTGAGGCTGAGGCTATGTCGACCTAGGGGAGGCCTAGGACCGGTTCATAGTCACCGGTGGTGGCCGTGAGCGAGAATCGAACTCTGGTCGCCGGGTTCGTAGCACGTCGCGCTAACCGCTACACTACAATGCGTTACGCTTCCACGTGCGCGGGTCACGTGACAGATGTGACGTCACAGCTCACTTGGCGTGCAAAAAATAGATGCATTATTGAGCTCCCCCCCCCCCCCCCAAAAGAAAAAAAGTGTATTTGAATAATTTTTGCATGGTGTACAGTCTGGAAAGTACCCACATGCCAAATTTACAGTTTGTTGCATGTCGGGAAGTAGGCTAAACATTTTGAACAGACACACATATTCACAACTTTGCTTTTTATATATATGGAGATATAGCCAGTTACCTCTATTTGTCTTTCTCTCTGCTAAGTTATCTCAGTCCCTGTCTTCATTTAACTTCGGTCACGGCAAAGTCGGCCACGCTTTGATCCCTGGTGGGCCGGCAGTCCTGGTCGTCGTCGCGCGTGATGATTTTTTTTGTCGATAATTTAATTTCCAATTTGAACACCGGCGTGGGCGGAGGTGCGCCCTGGCGTGTGGGGGCCGATAAACATCTGAACGACTGAGCCCTCTCCCCCGCCATCCCAACGAATTTCCGCGATTTTGGGGAGTCACGCTCTGATTGGAGAGGCGATCCTAATTTGTCTCTCTCTGTCTCGTTGCTAACGCCCGCCGTGTCTGCTCTGCCATGTCTCGTTTGCACCGTCTTTGTTGCACTGTTCTCCGCATGTACGTGTCTCCTCTCTTGTTGTTGTTTCTCGGTCTGTAACATCCCACTGCTGGGCAAAGGTCTCCCCATGTTGTTGTGGTTGCTGCTGCTGCGGTTAGATACTATTCTTCAAACCTCCCCCCCCCCCCCCCGAACATCCTCATCGGTTATAAATATTTATAACCTGGTCAGACTCAGACTTCTCTTTTTAAAGGGACAGGAAGGTTAGCACCTCCCCTTCCCTCATCTCCCGTGTAGCCTCTCCCTGTAGGCACTCGCACCCACTGTCTCTGTGATATGTTCCTGTAAACACCCAACCGTGCCTAGGGCCCCCCCCCCCCCCAATATCTGTGGTCAGACAATGCTGTGGTTGTGGGCACTTGGGCCGGCGTCGTTGATTTAGGGCAGACGCCGCTCGTACGCCGCGGTTGTTGTCAAGCAGCACTGGCGTTGTGGCCTATCGCCGCTGGCGTCGTGGTTGCGGCTGCTGTTGTGGTTCGCGTTGTGTGTTCGTGGCGAGCAGCGGCGTTTGGCTGGGGTCGACCTCTGGGCGGCAGCCACAGATTCGGCGGGCCACAGATGTTATCGTGCTCACGGGAGCTCGTTACATTTAGCTGCCAGCTGCAGCGGACGCTTCCCCTCCCGTTCAATAAGCCATTGTTTTTCCCGTGATTGAGCACGAAAAAAGTAAAACTTTGTGATGCTGCCACTTGTATTTGTGGTCGTGCAATGTATAACCCCTTTTCCCTTTCGTCGGGGGTGAGGGGCGGGGGAGGTGTGTGGTGGCACAAGCCTGTGATTCGGAACTTTGGAGGCAGGGGTTGGTGGATCACGCAGTGATTTGTGAAACTCCCAAACCCCACTGCTGGTCTGCGGATGGCAGCAGCACAAGTGGGGTGTGCGTCAGCCCATTCTGCGGTCGTGCCTTCCGTCGCACGCCTCCGTCGCCCACGCCGTCGCCACGTGCCCCCGTCGGTCGTGCCATGCCCTCTCCCTCAATCGTCCTCCTCCGCCCCCCTCCACCCCTCGTGCCGTGCGCCACCCACAGCCCCGCGGGCGCCCACGAACTGGCGGCTGGGGAAGCTGCTGGGCCAAGGCGCGTTTGGCCGCGTGTTCCTGTGCTACGACGCCGACACGGGGCGCGAGCTCGCCGTCAAGCAGGTGCAGTTCGACCCCGACAGCCTGGAGACGAGCAAGGTGAGGGGCGGGCACGGGGCGCCCACGCTCGCGTGCAGTGGCGGCGGCGTCGTCGTTGTCGTCGTTGGGAAGAATTCAAAGAACAAAATAGATGAGCGGACACCGCCGACGCCTGCATGTGTCGGTCTCGTCCACGTGAAGAACACAAGTGTTTTGCTTATACGACACACTGGTCCAACAGGAGTGCATCTTTACACCAGCATTGATTCGGTACAGGAAAACTCGGGACTGGATTTGACATCCGGTGTCTCATCAGCTGAGTGAGATGCTGTCGGCAAGGACCCTCTCTGTACGAAATGGGTCCTAGGTGGCCGGGAAATGTAATAATTTGTAAAGTTGTACATTTTTTTGAATCGTAGTGTTAATGTTTTGTCTTGTTGGTATGGTGTGGTGTCGTGGTGTGAGTTGGTGTTAAGGTATGATATCGTGTTATTGTATCACAAGGTGTTATGCTGTGGCATTATGCTATGATGTAATTCCACAGTAATACAAGATGAGATGGTTGTGTGTTGGTGAGGTGTTGTGGCTTGGTGCGATGGTGTTACGTTGTGGTGGTGTGGTGTGACGGTGTGGTGTGATGGTAGTTTGGTGTGACGGTGTGGTGTGATGGTGGTTTGGTGTGACGGTGTGGTGTGATGGTAGTTTGGTGTGATGGTTGTGTGTTGGTGAGGTGTTGTGGTTTGGTGCGATGGTGTGGTGGTGGTTTGGTGTGATGGTGTGGTGCGATGGTGGTTTGGTCTGATGGTGTGGTGTGATGGTAGTTTTGGTGTGGTGGTGTGGTATGATGGTAGTTTGGTGTTCTGATCTGACGATGGTGGTGGCGGTGTGCGTCCACCGATGGCGTGTGCAGGAGGTGAAGGCACTCGAGTGTGAGATCCAGCTGCTGAAGAACCTGCACCACGAGCGCATCGTGCAGTACTTCGGCTGCCTGCAGGACGCCGTGGAGCGCACCCTCTCCATCTTCATGGAGTTCATGCCTGGGGTACGCCTCCCCCACCCCCCCCCCCCCCCCCCCCCCCCCGCTCAGCGAATCGTTGCCGCGTCCTTCGCTTCGTCGGGAGATGAACAAAACGCGATGGGACATGTGGGACGGCGTCGCCTCTTTTGGGTGACGGCAGCCTGGGCTGCGTCAAGAACAATTGGAGAGCTGTAAATAATCGGTGACGTTTTTGTGAAATGCCCCTTCTTCACAGCACAGGTGAGAGGTCGAGTGGCCTCTGTTAAGGCCACTCGCAGTGTTATTGACGAACGTGTTGGAGTTATTATTTTTTGTTAATTGTGCTTTTGCACCAACGCCAAGGCAGCAGCAGCAGCAGCAGCACCAAAACAACACCATGAGTTTCAAGTAACATACGCAAGAAGCTATATAAATCAATCGGCTTCTGTGAGTTATGCAATGGCAGTTCTTTAGGGGCTACTGATGGTTTTTGCACAGTGCCCAAATATGCCGAGTGCTTTTTTGTGCCGGGTGTTTGTGTATTATTTGATGATGATGACGCTCACGTAGCATTTAGGCTGTCTGAGCGAGTAAACCTGCCAAAAAAAGTAAGACAAACGAGAAACAACACAAGCGAGATGATAAAAAAACGACACGAAAGGAAAGCGACGCTTGAATACAATCGCGGCCCCCAACGACCGTGACAAATTCATCGAATCGCCCGCGGCAGGTGGACGAGGGATGAAGTCGTGATGCGGCTACGAGCGGCCCGCCGTGGTTACAACCCCGCGTTGGGGCGAGCGCCGGCAGCCGTCTGACCGCTCCGCGGTTGCGCGTGTGCGTGCGGTGCTCCCAGGGCTCCGTCAAGGACCAGCTGAAGGCCTACGGAGCGCTGACGGAGAACCTGACGCGGCGGTACGCGCGCCAGATCCTGGAGGGTGTGCACTACCTGCACTCCAACATGATCGTGCACCGTGACATCAAGGGTACGTACGCACCACGCAGCGTCCAACACGCAAGCGCGGCGAGCCTCGCCCCGTGCGGCCTTAGACAGGCTGTTGGGGCGAGTGCTGTTCAACGAGTGCCTGTTGAGGCCAACGTGGAGCAGGAGGGGATGCATGGCCAACACTACGCCCGGCCACCTTGAACTTCCTAGTGCTCGTGTTTTTACTTACCGCACCAACACACGAACGGACCACTGTACTCGCACGGCACCACCTCACATGCACACCACCTCACACACACACCACCTCACGTCCACACCACCTCACACATACACCACCTCTCACACCCCCTCACACACACGCACACCACCTCACACACGCACACCACCTCACATGCACACCACCTCACACACCCCCTCGCACACACATACACCACCTCACACACGCACACCACCTCACACACGCACACCACCTCACATGCACACCACCTCGCACGCACACCACCTCACACACGCACACCCCCTCACACACACACACCACCTCACACACCCCCTCACACGCACACCACCTCACACACGCACACCACCTCACACACGCACACCACCTCACATACACAGACACCTCTTTACACACATGAGCGCCTTCACTCAAGGCTCTTGATGTAGATGAGAAAAGGTTGACACAAAACGGATTGATCTAGATGGCAGGGGCAGGCAAGCATTGAGGAATGAGTGACAGCGATAGAGGAGTACTTCGGGGTCACGAGTTGGTAGTGGAGGAACGGGAAGGAGTGGAGGGGCGAGGGGAGGGAAGAGGAAGAGAATGGGCAATAGGGAAGAGGTGGCGCTTTAAGAGAGGGACAGAAGGAGATTACGGAGGGGGCATTGCTCAATGCACAGGGCAAGTTGATTCCAGTGGAGGGATGCAGGGAGGGAAAAGGACCGAAAACGTGATTGGGCACAGGGAGAAGAAGGAACAGAGAGAGACAGAGAGAAGATTGAGAACGAAGAGGACGAGACGAGGGGACGTGGAAGGAGATGAGAGAGGCGAGGTGATGAGGTGGGGCATGGCCATGAAAAGATTTAAAGACGAGCGTCAATTATTTTAAAAGGCGAACAGGAAGCCAGCGGCGTTGAAGGAGGAGGGGCGAAGTGAAGCCTTGCGTCACCGGCGTGGACCTCTGGCACTTGTGCCCCCAGGAGCCAACATCCTGCGCGACTCTGCGGGCAACGTGAAGCTGGGAGACTTTGGCGCCAGCAAACGCCTGCAGACGATCTGCCTGACGGGCACCGGCATGAAGACGGTGAGCGGCACGCCCTACTGGATGAGCCCCGAGGTGATCAGCGGCGAGGGCTACGGCCGCAAGGCCGACATCTGGTGAGTGATGCTCGGCACGCGGTTGGGGGGCACACGGTGGGGGGCACACGGGGGCGGCACACAAGGGGGCGGCACACGGGACATGCTGGCACACATGGGGGGCACCCTTGGGCAACACACGTGGCACGAGGTGCGGGAGTGGTGAAGTGCATTGACCCTGGTGCAAGGAAAACAGTGGAGCCCCTCTTCTGTCCAATTTCTCCATAGCATGGCCCGTGGGGCGTGGGCCACGGTGGCGGTCCCTGCACATTCAATAGCTATGCCACATAAAGTCTTATCAGCCTCTTAGTCTGCGAGTCTTGCATTGCAACTCGTACGGAAGGGTACCCCCAGTTGCAGCTGTTCCTGTGCGTCACAACGGTGACCCGGCACCTGGCCTGCGAGTAGCCACTCGTCTGCCGGCCGGGGGCAGCGATTGCTGCCATCTGAAATCCCAAGCGAGTAGCTTCAAATTATCATCTTATCCAACGAGACGAGAGAGCAGCTCTCTCTTCTCGTTGGACGGGGACCCTTCAACGAGACGAGAGAGCTGCTCTCTCGTCTCGTTGGACGGGGACCCGCGGGCGCCCGGCAAGGCGCGGGGGCGCCGCTGGCGCGGGGCGTCTGCAGGCCTGCTGCCGGCGTCCCCGGGCCGAGCAGCGCTCGGCGCTCGTGAAAGGAGAAGGCGGCTTGCGGTGTTATTTTAGAAATAATGCACATCCTGTTTCCTGGTGCAGACAATCACGCGCGGAGGGGGCGAGGCGGGGCGGAGGGTGGCGTGGGGAAGACTGGGGTCACCCTCCAGAGCCCCGGCACCCCCCCCCCCCCCATTCCCCCGACGCCACTCCCTGCGTCGTTGCCCCGTTATTTCGGTCGTTGTGGGGGCTAGGGGCGGTAGTGAGTAGGGTGCGGCACAGGGGATGCCGATGTATTGATTCGATCGTTAAAGTTGGAGACTTGGTTTGGGCACAACGTGTCGCGAGAAGAGAGGAGGAGGGCCGGCAGTCGAGAAGAACAGCGGAGTTTGCGGCCCAGGGAGGCCAAACGACGGGAAGCCCACTGTGCAGGCGGAGTGACGGTGACATCGGCTCGTGTGTGCACGTGCCGAGTGAAATCGATGCATCGTGACCTCGAGAGCCTTTCAACCAGCGGTGGATTGTTCTTGGCTGACAATGACGATGATTACTAAAGTTGATTCTTCAGATTACGATGTGTGCATTCATACAGTTGCGTGTGTGAGAATCATTTTTACGGCGGTTTAATTTGTGCACATTCTAATGTTTCACTCGAAGGGAAATGTTCAGAATAAATCGGAACAAATGAGATGGAACAAATGAGAGAGTACGTAGAGCCCAGATGAGACAAACACCCCACTGGGCAGCCAGTGGAGTACCAATAAGGTGAAAGGCACAAATGAGACAGACCCTTTCTCTGTTGAAGGCCATCTTGTGAAGGGCCCTGTCTCCCCTATTAGTGGCCCTGTGAAGCCTGATCCAGTGCACAGCTCTCTGCTGTTGTTGTTTGTCTCTCGCACTTGCTGGAACAATAAATTTGGCCGCCCTGCCGTGGCAGGGTGTGAAATTCCTGTGCGTGGAGGAACCGGGGTAGGTGAGCAGAGGTCACGGCCAACTTTCCACAGGAAGCGGCAACCCGAGCCAAAGTAATCAACACCTCGATCCCCCTCCCTCGGGGATCACCGTGTTGGTGACACACGCCGTGTGTCCCGTGCCTAGACCCCCGCAACCCCCGTGACACACACGCGCACAAACATATGCGCGTGTACACACACGCGCACGCCGATCGGGTAAAGGAGATTTTTATGCTCGTAATGCAAGCGTCGAATCGGTGCGAATGAGAATCTGTTATTTAAGATTTGTGAAAATGTTTTGTAGGTAACCAGTTTTGCAACAGACTTAAAACAGTGTTATTCTGAAGAGCTTTCTCTGTGCGACCAGCGCGGTGCATTCATGATGGGCTGGACATGCCGTGTCATCGTTGTGTTCCCGCCACATGACGGTATGTTCGCACCGACAGGAGCGTCGGCTGCACCGTGGTGGAGATGCTGACGGAGCGGCCGCCCTGGGCCGAGTACGAGGCCATGGCGGCCATCTTCAAGATCGCCACACAGCCCACCAACCCCCAGCTCCCCTCCAGCCTGTCGGAGCACGGCCGCGACTTCCTGCGACGCGTCTTCGTGGCGGCGCACCAACGCCCCTCCGGCGAGCAGCTCCTGCGCCACCCTTTCGTCTGCTGGCACTGACGGCCCTGGCGGCTCCCGCGGGCTTCCCTGCGGGGCCTCCGCTTTGTCCGCCGTAGCCCCCAACGAGACGACGGGCTCCCCCTCCCCACCCCCTCAAACCCGCCCCCCACGGTCGTGCAACTCTCAAAGCCCCCTCCCCTCCCCCCTACCCATCCCGCCTCCGCCCCAACCTGTTCCACGCTTGCCGTGCGAGCCGCCGGTTGATGCCTCTGCGGTGGCGCGGTTGGGCCCAGCGGCACCTGCCGGAGGCGGCGCGTCCTCCCCTGAGACGCCTCCCGACGGCTCGTCGCCGCCTCGGAACGGCGCTCGCCATGCCACTGGCTGTTCCGCTCGTCGCAAGCCGCAGGCGGGGGTTGCGGCTGCGCTGGAGGGGGAGCGGTAGGGCCTTTGCTGAGGGGTCCCCCCCCCCCGTTCTCTCGCGTGTTCTGCAACCGCCTGAGTCGTCTCCCGATCGTCGGCGTCTTTGGGGTGGTGTGGGGCTGTTGTCTCCAACCTCGAGCCAGGCACATCGGCTGAGGTGGCCCCGCCGGTTGGAGCCTGGGTTGAGTTTGGGCCTCTCGGTTGCGATGCGTGGCATTGAATTGTCTTCACCGTGATCGTGGCTGTGGATCGCTTGGGGCGCTGCTTCCGATCGTCGAAGTGATGCTGACAATTGGAGAGACACTCCGCGGCGTGATCGTGGAGGCGGTGGCTGTGGTGGTAATGCGACGAAGAATGCGACGGCAGTGAAGATGAGGTGGGCGGTGATGGTGACGATGGAGCGTGTGAAGGAGATCACGGCGACGGGTGGAAGCGGAGATGACTCCGGTGGTGGGACGCGCGTTGAGAAGATGTAAATAATCACCGTGACCGGGACACCGACGGCTCGTGGGAGTCACCGCGGCGATGACGGCCACGACAAGGGGTGATGAGGATGAACCGTGGGGCTCCGCGGGACGCCGTCTTCGGGACGTTGATGACGAGAGGAGAGACTCGACGAGGGGCCAGGAGAACGCTGGATTCACGATTCTTCACGCCAATAATTTAAATCCTTCACTTAGTGCCATCTTAGATTTGTATCGAAGTGTAATCAAAGATTTCTTATATAAAGAGTGTATTCTTTATTTTTTATAAATAATTGAGAAGCTGCCTTAACTTCCGAGATATTTGTATAGCCTTTACTAACGTGCACATATCTTTGTTTCCATGTAAATACGACACAAGTATTTATCGTTTATATAAATCAAAATGACAAGGGGGCCAAGAGCGGTGAGCTGCGGTGGCGAGCCGGAGTGACGAAGTGAAGAGGCGAAACCGCCCTTCTTTTACCCGACCTCTCGCACTCCCCATTTCACCCGATTTGACCTTCCTCCCCCCACCCCCCACTCCCCCTCCACCCCTCCCCTCCCTGGCTGGTTCCATGTGACCACTAGCGGCACTGGCAGCACCATGTGCAGCGATTGGGGTTACCCCAAGGTGTGGCCAGGTGGCCTGGCGAACACGTGCTCGGAGGAATCCAGGCCCAGCGCCCGTCTTGTCTGGGAGGTCCGGAGCCAGCCATGGACATTGCACATTCCTCCTGTGGGGCCAAAGTCCTTTACGCAGTCCGACCACTTTTGACTTCTCGCCCAGCATGGCGCGCCTGTGACCAAATCATCCACAACGTGCCTGGATGTCCGAAGTTGAGCAGGGTTGAAGCCCGCGTTGAGCTTGCGTGGGCAACGGCCGTGCGCACCAGGTCTTGTTCTGTGCACGTGTGGAGCTGCTGTGTGCTCCGTTTGGGCGGCAGGGGATAGTGCAGCAAGTTCCATTCTCTGTGCTGTACTTCTATGCTTCCCATGTCCTTTACTTATTACTGCCTTGACCAGCAGGCATCGGCCAGCATGGCGAAGTATGGGCAAATAACCCTCCTCACGATTGACACGAGGACTGTGTGCGTGTGAGATGCAAGTGGTGGCGGTCTTCACAGGGTGGTGCTGTATTACGGTTATGAGAGTTTGGCGATAACGAGATCCCCGCTGGTAAAGGAACAGTGTGCCATTGTGTGGTGTGGCGGAGGGGGTGGGGGGGTGGCATCGTGCCACCCAAGGCATCAATCACCTTGCAAGGTCCTCCCCAAGACCTCGAGTGTAAAATCCTAGAGGTCTTATTTTTGGCTGGCTTGGTACCAGGCTGGTCTCTGTTCGATCCAGGGGTTGCCGTGATACTACGATGGATCGTACGATATAAAGATCCACGATAATCGTGTCGACCGTTTAAGCTAATTATCATCGTATCGCAATTATCATTTGAAATATCGAATTTCCTTCTTAAAAAAAAGAATTTCTGGAAAAGCAATAATGAAAATGTCTAAGAATAATCAAAGTTCGAAAGGTAATATCTGCAAACCGTTCCATTCGTACATTTTAAACGTTTTCCGTGGGAAATAAGGGCCATGGTGGTTATGCAATGTCGTCGTTTTCTGGCGGCACGTCCTGCGATCGTCACATGACGACGAGCACGAGACTTCTGGCAGGCTCGTGTTGCGCACACTGCAGTTGTGAGCAACATTTTACAGCGATCTTCATTCAGTACTGTGCAAGTGCAGCAAAAAGCACCAAGACGATCCAAATTTTTAAACGCAACTACACAGCTAAGGGATACTGACGGCAAACGGTAAACGTCACATCGTGAAATTTAACGTATCGTCAAAGAATGATAGTGCGGCAACCCTCTCGCCTTATCCCAAACTTACGCACGAGGCCCCCTGCCTCCTGACACCCCCTGCCCGGCAGCGGTCGCCGAGGTTTTTGACCGCGTGTCATTGCGGGAGCACGGTTCGAATGTTGGACGGACACCGTCGACCGGCTGTGACGCGTTAACCCGAGTGAGTGAAGCACTGCCAGGAGAAACCAATCACACGGCCGTGATGAATTAACTTTGCACTTTTCACGAAAAGAGAGTTACCGACTTAAAGGTAAACCAAATTTCTTTCTTTTTTTTTGGAGCGTTTATTTTTGTACAGAGAGACGCAAACAACGGAAGCGGCGGTGGAACTACTCGTTGGATGAGTGACATTGTGGAGGGTTGTGTTGGGGGGAGGCGGCATTCTTTCTGTGACACCCAGACCTTGTGAGCGACCTTCCACAGTGGGCTTTAGTCGCCTTACACCGCACGCGTGACCAGTGCGATCTGTGAAGCGATGGCTCGGTCACGCTGCTGAGAAACTAATTGGGATCGGGCCAAACGGGTCCAGGGCTATAAGGGCTGATTGGTGGAGGAGGCTGAGATTTAACGACGCAGCCAATGATCGGGTAGCGTCCCAGTGGACATCCACCGATGAGATGGAGCAGTGAAATCCGCTCCTCGTGCACAGCTGCCGGGTGGATTGTTACTGCGTGAGAGATGGTGGCCACTTGGGGCGAGCCTTCAATCAGCAATAGATTGACCATGGCTGATGATGATAATTACTAGCTCCCGGTAATAGATTTTGCCCCCCCCCCCCCCCCCGTCTATTATCGGCTTTAGCCTGGCACTCCATAGGTCAGATGCTTGATTTGCTCATGACGGCGATTGTACATTTGTGAGTGTCCAGCACGGAAGTGAAAGTAATGTAAATTGTTTTGGCTAACGCTGCCCATAAGTAAAGCCAGTCGATTTATGAGCTGCAGTTTTTACGGAACCAAATTTTTAAATGTTTGCGTTTCTGATTGTCTTGTTTTGTAGGCGTCCACTCGACTGTGTGCCAAATTTCACCTTTCTAGGCCCTGTTGGAACGCCATTAGGACTTACACCGGTCACGACTATCAGTGTGTGTGTATGATCATATCTGAAGCTCCTGTTCAGGAGTGGGGCAACGGGCCTTTGATATTCAAGAGGCAGCTGTGGATGGAGCGGAAGAAGTGTGTGTGTGTGTGTTTTTAATACACTATGTAGCAATTGCTAAAGGGTATATGGGAGAAAACCCGACTACAATGCAGGAGAGGTAGAATGAGATTGGGGAAGAAAGGAAATCGGTCGTAGATGGTGGTAACGTTTTGTTAGCCTCGACGAGAAGAACGGGGAGAGGGAGTGGGTAAAGGAGTTTGATACTGGGGTGGGCAGCAGCAGAGGGGGAAGCCAGTGGTTCTTAACCTTTCCTGCAGCCTTGCACCCCTTTGGTTTCTCAATGGTTACAACATTTTATGTTACTAAACACAAAGGTTTGATGAAACCAAGTTAGTTGTACTTACATGCCCGTGCTTCATTTGTGTTTTCGATGATTTACCTTCTAAACAAAAATGTCAATGACATGCCTCGCACCCCCAGAAAGGGCATCTCGCACCCAAAGGTGGTGCGTGCACCCCCAGGTTAAGAACTACTGCTCTGAGCGGAATGTGCCCAGGCGATTCCCACGCAAAGCGTTGCCGTTTAGGAGTGGAGTGGGCGCAGGGAGAGGACGGTGGGCTGAGAGAGGGAAGGCGAGAATGTAGGGTAAGTTTAAGTCGGACAGGGTCATGGCGAAGTTTGAGTCTGATTGAGACAGCGGATTACCCCCCTACCCCCTCCCATACATATAATTCCCAGAAATGATGTTGATCGGGAGCCAAAGATAATCCTTGAATGCAGCCTGCATTTTGCTCAATTAGTAGAGCTTCTTAGGGACAAAAAAACAACCTTGAGGAATACAATAGTTGCCTTTTTTACTTTGCGGGACCCCGTAAAGCATTCCTCTCCCCGCGTGCACGCGATTCCCACACTGGCTGCCCCACGTCTTTTGAGGCAGGGCATGTGGCGTGGCTTGAGCTTGCGTGTCGGCCAGGGAGCCCTTCGTATGAAGCCTTGTAGCAAGCAGTGTCCCGTGATTGTCAGCCACCTTTGCTTCACTTCCATGATCACCTCCCGAGTCCTATGCATGGCTAGTTCTAAATACGGCAATAATCAAACCCCTATGTGCAGTAACGGGGAATGCTGCATGTGGTGGCGGAACTGGTTACTTTGTAGCCAGAGTTCCATGTGCGACAGCTGCTGGAGCGTTGAAAGGAACTCGCTGCAAAATGTCTTTCTCGCAAGCTGCTCGCAAGGACCCAAATGCACTTACGTCTCCTTGTCTGCGTGCGTGGGGGGGGGGGAATCCCCAACTGGTGTGGCATGCGGTTTCACAGCCACACTTGGCTCACACTGAGCTCTGCTCACATTCCCCATCGACCACTCGGGGCACGACCCTTGCCCATTTATCTCTCTGCTAAGTGACACGGCCGCCCTCGTTCCTGAATGTGGCTTGCCAGAGGCATACTTGTGTGTGTTTGGGTCCGGGATCCTGCCATGGTGCAATGTTTAGCACACTGGACTTGCAATCCAAAGGATCGTGGATTTTTTTTTTTTATCTTCTGGCACGAAATATTTCTTAAATCCTTCCCCCCCCCCCCCCCACCGCCTTTGTCCGCCCGACAGTAGAAACGGGTTCACTGCGGTTCGTCTGACCACCGTGGAGAAGTAGGCCAAGTACCTTCGAGAGGCGGCCCTTGCACGCGGTGGCGTGAGCCAGCAGTATCATAGCTGCTCTTTCATTAAATGTGTCACGCCAGAGGAACGGCAGTGCGACGCAAGTTACTGCAATTCCCCCTCTGATTGCAAGCACTTGGGACAAAAGGTCATTTCGACCGTGACCCACATTCATTGACCAGGGAACCGCGTGCACCTGCGATGCCAACTTTGTGGGCCTCATTGTGAGAAAAACAAGCTGTGCACGTGGCACCAAGGGTTCGTTTTACAAACCCAACCTGTGCCTGCCAATTTGCGGTTTTAATCCCCCCCGACCCCCCATCCACCCCCCATCTACCCCCACCGCACATACCCCAAACCCCCCACCCCCGCCCCTTCATTCACATGACATTCTCGTGTCACAGTGCCTTGTTTAATACAATTTGCCTTGAAGCGGTGGGGTGGGGGGAAGTGTGGTGGCAGGGTTTGGATGTGACATACAAGGTAAAGATGTTTACTCGTCTCGGTTTCAATTCTAAGTAAATAAATAAAAAATACCAAATTAACAAGTCGTCTTGTGGTGTGTTTAGCGCAGACTACATTTCGATGTGTGTTCCATCTTATCGGTGCGAGGGTTCAGCAGAAGATTGATGCCGTGCGGTTGATCCGAGGACCGGCTCGCGACTATTGAGCATCTTTGCGCCACTAATTCTCTAAGTAAAAACATTACCAATGTGAGAGGTTGATTTTAAACGAGGGTGGTTCTGGTTGGCTCGTCTTTAGCACTTCTGCGCCGGTCCCGCTGAAAAGCCTGTTGTGCCACAACCTGCCTTGAGCCACGAGTGATCAAACTCGCCTCTAAAGGGCTAACGAGTTAACGACCTCGACCTGTTGCCAAATTACTCGCGCTCACAACACGAGAAATTAAACGACACTAACTTTGCGCATTCACTTTGGTGACGTTCCAGCTCCGAGTTAATCGGGAGAGACGCGACCGCTTGACTGCCATGCTCGCACATTGGGACACCTGCTGCTGCATCGACACTGGGTACGAGATTAGATCGGTGACACGATGGGATCTCGCTTCTGTGGGCTGCTCGAACAGAGGGGTGCATGGCATGACCCCAGCATAGACATGTGTAATGACACTGGGAATATATCATTGTATATCGCTTATGTATGTGTATAATTCCACGGGTAATCTTGCAGAAAAAAAAAGTTTACGGCGCGATATTTCATTTCAACTTAGTGAGGTCATAGTCGGCCATTCATTATCCACTGCTGGATGAAGGCTTCCCCCCCATGTCATTCTCCCTCGTGGTCTTGCGATGCCACGCGATCCATACGACTCCTGTACGTCGACCGGTCCCGTTGCTCCATCGCTGCTGGTTGGGCTGTCGTGCGTTTTCCTTTGGCTGCCACATTCCATCGCTCGCGCCTTGTCCGTCTGCCGGTCATGTCGGTGGCACGGCCTATCCGAACCCTCCTCTTCGAACTCGACGTGCCCCGATTTGCGTTCGTTTGCTGATCCACGTGCCCCTCGCTCACTCCCGAAAACTGGACCCCCCCCCCCCTCCCTGTACACACGCAAACTTTTTACGCCTCCCACCCCCACCTGCGTACATACGCCTGACGCACCCACTTCCCCCCCCCCCCGACAGACCTGTTCTTCACCTGAGGACGGCTGCTTGCGTTGTGGACGAAACGTCGTGAGAATTATTTTATTATGTTTTATTTGTATTATTTTATTATTTCCCTTCTACGTGACTTTACCGAAAGAACCAAGACGAATATTTACGTGTTAAAGCAAACAAATAGTCCACACCGCCGGACTAACTCATTTGAAGGCCAATGAAGACAAATTATTATCGAGGCTTCACCCCCCCCCCCTCCGTTGCCTATGCGTACATTGTCAGTGGACCCCCCCCATACACACGCGTACGCATTTGGGTTAACCCCCCCCCCTCCCTCCTCCATGGATGGCCCCTTTCGTTAAGACGGCTGCATCCAAGCTGTGGGTCTCCATCGGGTGGATGTGGTTCGAGTCGAGTCGGGGTTATTGTTGTTCACATACGCACACGGATGGCACATGTCTGGCACAAACTCTGTCACTCGAAGCGTTATCACTTCGATACGCAAACTCAACATAAAATATATATTCACATACTAT